TTCAAAAAAATCGATATCAATCGATAAAATCAATACTAATCGATAATTTATTTTTTAAAAATTTGGAATTTTCAAAAAATCGATATCAATCGATAAAATCAATACTAATCGATTTTTTAAATTTAAATTTTCAGAAAATCGATACTACTCGATAAAATCAATACTAAAAAATTATAACTAATTTTAAAAATCAATAAAAAGATTAAAATTCAATTTATGGCAATTAAATTAAATATAAATACAAGTAGAATTAATTAAAAAATAAAAACCAAATTTAATAAAAATGAAGATCGTCACAAAAATATCATCTCACAAGTAGGGTTGTCGATTCTCACAAGCATCTTCAAGTTTGACTTTCAGATTCAACCTTCTGTTTAATCAAAAAACTTGTAGGGCCATAACTGTGACGTGAAGGAGCCTTTTGTGAGGATATTTCCACAGATTCTTTAAATTAAAAAAAATTTTTAATTAAAATTTAATTAAACTACCTTTCCTGCAAAAAATTGTTCCCAATGCTCTCTTTGTAATTTTTCTATTAAACAAAATATAAATCCAAGGATTTACACACGCATTTAAATTCCCCAAAATTGCAATTTGTGTAATTATTGTTTGTCCACCTTTGAAAAAAATTATTTTATTTAAAAATAAAAATTAAACAAACTTCCCCAAGCCCATTTATGAGCAAATGCTTGAAGTACATTAATAAGACAAAAAGGGAGCCTAAAAAATGATTTTTTTAACTTTAAATTGTTTTAAAAGTTTACCAAAGAAAAAAGTTGCACATGACGATAATTAAGGTTAGTCTAACCTGAAAAAGATTTGTTAGAAAATTTTTTTAAAATTAAAAAAAATAACCGTCTTAATCCTCTTCTTGTCAAATTCAGTCACTTGATTTTGAAAAGTTGTAGAACTTTTTCTGAGGACCTCAACATATTCGCGTGTCAATCGACAACTTTAAAAGAAAATTAATTTTAATTTTTCCAAAATTCAAAAAAACCTGGCTTCAATTGAATTTGAAACTTTTTGTGGTTTTAAATTAGTTTCGTTATCGTCTTGTTGAATTTGCCAAAAAGGTAATTTCCAAACAGTTGTGCATATTTTAAAATAAAAAAATGCAGAAATTAAAGAAGGGAGTAACCAGGCAATGACACTAGAAAATTAAAATATTCTAATTCCGAAATTTTAAAAATTTATTTTTACCTAAACCAAACAACATATGCTTGCTTCCAAATATCCGGGTCCATTCATAAAAAAATTTTTTAAATAAATTTGAAAAAATTAAATAAAAATACCATAAATTGACCGGCATTGTTCTTTCCTATAAAGAAATTTCAATTAAAAAAAAATCTCAAAATTTTTATTATACCTATCATTTTCAGCAAAATTCCATTCAACAATGCTCGTTGTAGTGTTGTTACTTATTTTTCCAATTGACATCTTTTGCCAGATAAAGAGTTGGGGAACAGAGCAAATCGAAGCAAAAAGCCAAGCTGTCAACCCAAAATAATTGGGGCGTCGAAAACGATCGCTGGTATAATGAACTAATGGACGACAAATTGCCTTGAAAATTTTTTTTTGAAATTTAAAAATTTAATTTTAGAATGGAGGGAGGGTTTCATTCTAAAAAATTTTCTGAAGGCAAAATTTTTTTTGAACATTAAATTTCTTAGAAGTTTTCAAAAAAATACCTGATATCTGTCAATACTAATAGCAACCATTAAAAAAGGGCTAGCATAAAGTGGAAGTACTTGAAGATATCGAACTAAACGGCAAACCAAATCAGAAGCATAAAAATGAGGAAAAGTCAAAAGAATGCCAATTTCTGAGCCTAGTGAAAGCTTTGGAAAAAAAAATAAAAAAGAAATTTTTTAAAAATTTACCAGAGCAAATAAAAGATCGGCAAAGCAAGTGTGAAGAATTAGAAGCTGAAAATTGAGTAAAATTAATTTTTTTAATTAAAAAAATTCTACATACTTGAACGGGTGAAATCTTGGACCTCGAAATTTTGTTTCCCTTGTGAATCACAAAAATTAAAAAAAGATTCCCAAAAATGGCGAAAGCCATAATCAAAGACATTCGAACAACCGTTGACAGAATTGATGTCATTTTTATGGAAAAATCTGTTTTAAGAAAATTTAAAGAATTTTTTGAGTAGGTCAAGGGCTTAAAGGACAAAAAAGTTTGGACGGAAAAAAATTTATAATCTTTTGGGCAAAAAAATTTTTTCAGCAAAAATTTTCGCTAAAAAATTTTTGGGATATACCACTGACTCTTTTCGCGCGTTTTTTTTAAATAAAATTTTTAAACTCCACTTTTAAATTTTTTTTCATTTAAAAAAGCACGTGACAAAAAAATATAAATATAATCTAATTTAGCTCAATTTCTACTAAAATAGAATTTATATACTAAAAATGTCAAAAAAGCGTCAAATTTAATATTAATTTTATTTTCACATTTTTTTTCTAAATTAAATTAAAGAAAAAAAAAGAGAGAAAAGGGGATTGAAGGGATTGACCAAAGTTTATAAGGATTTTCTTAGAAAAAAAATCTTTTTGTAAGAAAAAATAATTGCAATTATTTTATAAAGTTTCCGTTAAATTGGTTATACCTTTAAGAATAAAAAAGAAATTGAATAAAATTAAAAATTAAAATAAAAAAAAGCTTTCTTATGTGGTAACACCGGTTTTGTTTGTCTTTTTTTATTCAAATACTCAATTAAAAATAATGCCACTTTTTCTATTATTTTACATAAATTCAAGTGTCTTTTCTCCCCTTTTCTTGCCATATGCTCCTTTTTTGAATAAATTATTTATATATTAAATAATTATAAAATTACTACTTTTCATTCTTAAGTTGGTTAAACAAGAAAAAAAGTAGGTTCATGAAGAAAAAGTTTGGGGAAACTTGTAAGAATATCTGAATGACGAGAAGAAATATATTTACGGGGAGTTAAGAATGGAAGGAGATTGGAAGATGCGAAAAGGTAGTGAAGAAGGAATTGGAAGCTTATAAGAAGATAAATGAAATAAGAGGGTGGAAGTGGAGAAGGAGGGGTGGAAGAGAATCGGAAGAGAAAAAGGAGTTGAAGAAGGAATTGAAAAATTCTGAGAAGATGAATAAAATGGAAGAGAATTAGAAGGGGATTGGAGAAATGAAATGGTAAGATTATAAAAGAATGAATAAAATAGAAAATTATATTGGAAATAGAAGGAAACGGAAATAGAGAAAGATATGGAGAAATGAGGAATAATAAGGACAAAAAAATCGGGGTGTGCCAAATTATAAAAAAAAACTTATTACACTTTTAAAATGTCTAAATGTCATTTTCAGACGTTAAAAGGACTTTAATGGCAACGGAAATATTTTAATATTTTTTTAACTTGGAACAAGGACAACAATAAAAATATTTTTCCTCTAAAATTATTTCCCCAAAAAATCCAAAAAAATTTTTCTCAACTTTTTACTTTCATTTTCAACACATTAAACAATCAAAATAATAACAAAGACAACAAAACCTTTTTTCCATTTTTAAATTTATTTGGTTTTCTTTGCACGGATCTAAAAATTTTTTTTTTTAATTTTTAAACAAAAATATTTTAAAAAACATACCTTCTTCATATAAAACTCCAATTCTTTTCCTTCCAAAATATAACCATCACAACGTCCACTTTGTCCAGGACGAGAACTTATACGAGCTGAAATTTGAAAATTTAATGTCAAATAAGAAATCAAATTAAAATAAAACCCAAAAGACGTCCAGCTTGAAATTGTTCCAAAACATGAGGTTCAACAGCAGCAGTCTTCTGACGATCCGAATATTTCTTCAAAGTCTTCTTCGATCTTTTATGCCCAGAAATTCTTTGTTCTTCCTCCTCCGTCAATTTTTGACCCTTTTTGCGTGCCAAAGGCAAAGCATAATGAGCCTCATACCATTGACGAAAAGGCACAGCATCAATGGTAATAATTGAACCTTTAACCAGAGTTTTGGTTCGAACCAATTCGTTATTTGAAGCGTTGTAGACAGTGTCGATTATACGAGTCTTTCTAGTACAACCTTAAAAATTGTTTAAAAATGACGATAAAGACAGTTAGAGTAAAGAAAATAAGGAAAAAGGCGTTGTTGAGAAAAGAGGTGAAATGAAGTGTTTTAAAATTAATTAACAAAACATTTGCATAATTTCTCAACTTATTTTCGAGTATTTTATAAAGCGAAAGTGGGAATAGACCCGCCTTCCTCTAGTCTACTCGAAGAGATGGGAACGACAGTTGAGATTTTATTGAATGGAACAAGAGAATCACAGAAACCCCCCATCAATTTTTGAAACGTAAAACGTTCAATAACAAGAAAAATAAATCTTGTTAACCTTCAGATGCCCAAGCAAAGTTTCCCGTATCAAGACGCAAAGCACGATGTTTTATGTTTCCTCCACGGCAGCGAACAAGATGAATACGTTTAGGTCCAATCTGTTTTTTTAATTAAATAAAAATATTATTCACAAAAATAAAACCTTTGTATTCGCACTAGGACGTCCCAATTCGTGTTTACGCTTCTTATGAATTGGATTACGCTTTCCTCCAGTTTTGCGTCGTTTATGCCAATTGTCTTGAGAAATACCCATATTTTTAGATTATTTAAAACTTACTTGACAGACTAAAAAGATAAAAATTAAATATCGATAAATAAATGTTAAAAAATGATAAAAATCCCAAAGAAAAACCAGCAAACAAAAATGAAAAAAAAATTAAAATTTTACTCTAACCACTAAAAATCTCTAACTAGTTATATTTCTTTTCTCCTCCCTTCTCCTTAGAAGTCTTTTGCTACAGTAATTTTTACCAATTCGCTTCGAAACTTAATAAAATAATTGAGCGGGCAATTTTCTTTTTAATTTCTTTAAAAAAATTTTTCGACGCTTTTCTAAATTTTTACCTAAATTTATGTTTGGTTTTCTTTGAAATTTTTATTTTTTAGATTAAAAAAGTTTTTAAATTAAAAAACAATGGCTGCAGCAATTACTACTAAAATGAATGCTTTTGGAATGGTTGACAAGGCTGACGAGAATCGAATGCGTGAAATAATACAAGAATATTTGAATTTTTTGGATGACAGCGTTTGTTTTTAAATTATTTAATTAATTTTTATTAGGGATGGACCCCGAACATTCAGTCTCGAAAGTTCGGAGTCTGTGTTTTCGAAAATTTTGGAGTCCCTTAGGGTTCTGAAGGATAAGTCTGATGGGGTTGGAGATCTAACCCTAATTTTTAAATATATTTTTAGGGTGAAGAACGTGTTTATATTAACAGAATTGAGGACATGATAAGAGATGAGACAGCGCGTTTAATTGTTGATATAAACGATGTCAGACTTAAAATGAAGGAAAGAGCTACTTCGTAAATTTAAATTATTTTTTAAAATATTTTTTAATTAATTTTCAGACTTTTGAGTTCATTTGTAGACGAAATAATAGCCTTTGAACATGCACTTAAAGAAATTGTTTCAAAACTCGATCCAGATTATGCAAAAGAAAAAGATTTTCGAATTGGCTTTGAAGGGTCTTTTGCTGATCGTCATTTAAATCCTCGAACTTTGAAATCAAGTTTCTTGGGAAATTTGGTCTGTTGTGAAGGAATAGTGACCAGATGTACGTTTTTTTTGAATATTTATAAAGTCGAATTTATTTATTAAAGGTTCTTTGGTTCGTCCAAAAATTGTCAAAAGTTCTCATTTTTGCCCTGCAACAAAGAAAATTATGGAGAAAAAATATACAGATTTTACTTCATATGAAGCTATTCCAACTAGTAATGCTTACCCTAAAGAAGTATGGGTTTTTAATTTAATTTTTTTTTTAAATTAAAATTTTTAGGATGAAAATAAAAATCCTTTGGAAACAGAATTTGGAAAATGTGTTTATAAAGACCATCAAATATTTTCTATGCAGGTATTTTTAGTTTTTATTTTTAACAAAAATTTTAATTGAATTTAATTTTAAAGGAATTACCAGAATCTGCTCCTCCTGGAAGTCTCCCAAGAAATATTGATATTATTGGTTTTTTTAAATAGAATAATTTATATTTCATTTTTTAAGCTGATGAGGACTTGGCAGATCGTTGCAAGCCTGGTGATCGTATTCAAGTTATTGGCCTATTCCGTGTTTTGCCAAATAAACAGGCGGGGATGTCTACTGGAAATTTTAGGTTTTTATTTTATTGGTTAAAGTTTTTTAATTTTAAAAATTTTTAAAATTTAAAGATCAGTATTGATTGCCAACAATGTTCAACTTATGAGCAAAGATTTATTACTTAATTTTGAACCTGAAGATATTAAACAAATTCGTAAAATGAGTCGACATAAAGATATTTTTGAATTATTGGCACGTTCATTAGCTCCTTCAATTTATGGACATGACGAAGTTAAAAAAGCCGTTTTATGTCTTTTACTTGGTGGATGTGAAAAAATTCTTGAGAATGGAACAAGGCTTCGAGGGGATATAAATATTTTACTTATTGGTGATCCTTCTGTTGCTAAAAGTCAAATTTTGAGGTTTTTTAGATTAAATTTATTCATAATGATTTTATGTAAAAGATATGTAATTCATGCCGCTCCAAGAGTTGTTGCAACAACTGGAAGAGGATCGTCAGGTGTTGGTTTAACAGCTGCTGTACTTCACGATCCTGACACTGGCGAGAGAAAATTGGAAGCTGGGGCAATGGTGTTAGCTGATAGAGGAATTGTTTGTATTGATGAATTTGATAAGGTTTTTTCTTGAAAATTTTTGTAAAGCTGACATTTTATCCCGCTTTGTAGATGACTGACATTGACAGAACAACTATTCACGAAGTTATGGAACAAGGAAGAATTTCAATTTCTAAAGCTGGAATTCAAGCCAAATTAAATGCTAGATGTTCAGTTTTGGCAGCAGCTAATCCAGTTTTTGGACGTTATAATCTTTATAAAAATCCTATGGAAAATATTGGAATGCAAGATTCTCTTCTTTCTAGATTTGACTTGATCTTTGTTATGTTGGATGAGGTAAGGATTTTTTCATAAACTCCAAGACTAGTCATTAAACCCTATATTCGAGTACAGTGCCAGGAAATCTCTAACTTGGCCCTTTATTATCTTACAATTTATTTTTAAGCATGATGTTGAGCGTGACCGAATGCTTGCTGAAAGCGTATTAAAGCTACATCGTTATCGAGCACAAGGAGAGTCAGATGGTGCTGTACAACCAATGGGAACAACTTTAGAAAATCGAACAACATTCAATACTGATGGATCCTCTGAAAATTCAAAAGAAATTTATGAAAAAAATCGTGAATGGACTGCAATGGAGGAAAGGTTTGGGGGAAATTATTGGATTTAAGACCTAAAAATTTTTTTCTTTCAGAGAAAAAATTCTCAGCACTCATTTTATTCGTAAATATATTTATATGGCAAAAGAATTAAAACCAGTATTGAGTGAAGAAGCATCAACATTTATTTCTGAGCGTTATACAGAATTGCGTTCTGCAGATATGGGAAGGACTGACATGGAAAGAGTAAAAGAAAATTTTTTTGGAATTTTTAAAAATTAAAAAAAATTTTTTAAAGACGATGCCAGTAACTGCACGTCAATTAGAAACATTAATTCGACTTTCGACTGCTATAGCAAAATCGCGTTTGGCAAAAATAATTGAATTAAAAGATGCTAAAAAGGCTTATGAATTGTTATATTTTGCTTGTTTTAAGGTTTGTTTAAGGAAAACATTTTTAAACTTAGAAATTTTTTAGGAAAAATCAAAAGAGCGTTTAGAATATGAAGAACATAAACAAAAGAGACAACAATCAAATATTCGAAATAATTCAAAAAGTCCAAATGAAGTTGAGATAGATGAAGAAATTGAAGGGAATGATGAGGTAATTGTAAAAAATTTTGGGAAAATTTTCTTCCTTTTTTTCAGCAGGAATCAACAACTACAAAAGAGACAAGTACTCGAGCAAGTCGATATGCCAAAAGGTTTTTTTTAATTTTCAACAAAATTTTTTAACTTTTATTTTAAAGAAAATTGACAGTTTTTGAAGAAGAAGAGGAGGAAGAAGAAGATGAAGAAAATAATGAAGGTGGAAATAAGACGACAACAGAGCAACAACCAACAAAACGTTCAAAAATCCCAGCTGTTATTTCTGTTGATCGTTATAAAAAATTGAAAGGATTTTTAAGAAGAGCTTTTGATGATTTAAATATTTCAGCAAATGAATTGGCCAATTTGGAAGAAATTGAAAAATATATTCAAAAATTGGCAGAAAATCAACCATTTACAAAAGATGAATTTAAAGCAGCTTATGACCAATTATCTGGAGAAAATATTATTTTTATTGATGATGAACAAATTATGCTTATCTAAAAAATGGGGAATTGGATTTTTTGTGGGTTTATTTTAAATTATTTTTTTACATTTTATACAGTCAGACCTCGTTTTTTGGATACTCTCAAAGTTGAATACCCTTCAGTTTAAGACCCCCTCTCATAATAAAGTTTCACCCTCATATCCCTTTCATTTTAAGGTTCAATTTTTTAACATAAACAATAACCAAATATAAATCACAAAATAATGAGGTCAGACTGTAGCCCAAAAAAGGGTTTAAAAATTTAAAAAAACCCTGACAACTTTTAACAATTTTGCACTTTTTCTATTTAAAAATATAAATTAAAATTTCAACATAAACAATACCCAAAATTGCTTTATATTTTTTAACTTATTTCCTGGCCATTATTATTCTTTTTTTTAACAATCATATGTAGGGGGGAGGGAAGGATGGGGATTAGTTTACAAAAAATATTCTAGAAGGACCTGGGTATATAAAAATGAGAAAATGAATTATAAGTAAAAAATTTTATATTAATATAAAGTTACATTTAAAAGGGGGCTGGAGAAGAGTAATCTTATTAAATACTAGTTTTTAAAAATCCGTTTTTATCCTTACAAAATTTTTTTAACTGGTACTTGAACTCTTTAAAAACATAGAATATTTCAATTGCCTTTCTCTACTTCTTTTTAAAAATTATTAAAGAAGAAACCAAAAAGTAGGGGGAATATTTAGATAAATTTATTGAGTGTCCCCTTGGGCGCCTTTTCCCGTTATTTGTAGTTTTTCTATGTCCTTAGCTTCAGTTCACTTCCTTTTTATTTCTTTTTGGGCTTTTGCATAGGTCGATTGAAAAGCAGATTCTTATTGACAGTCGAGAAAAGGTAGAGAGAGGTAGAAAGAAAGGTGAAAGAGAAAGAAGAAAAATAGTGGGGAGTTGTTTAGGTTAGCTTGACATAATGTTAAACGGACTAAATGCCACTAGGAAGAAATTTTTACAAAATGGCTTAAAATTTTATTGAATGTTGTTTTGTTAGATTGGTATTTTGAATAAATTTTTTTAAGAAAGGAAAAGACAACAATAATATATAGGTGAAAGGGGAAAAATTTTGGGAGAAAGACGTTATTGAAGAGAGAGGTTGAATAAGAAAATATGTAAAAATAAAAATAAAGGTACTAAGTCCCGAGAACAGTTTTTTCTAACATAAGCTAGAAAATTAGAAGTATATAGTCAATCGAGAGCTATATTAAAAGGGAGAAAAGCAATACAAATAAAATATACACACAAACATGCAGAATTTTTGAGTGACTAAATAACAACAACACATTTTTGTCAAAGATTTCCTTTATTTTTTGCCACATTTTTTTTTCTTTTAAAAATTGTTGCTCTAAAACTTTAAAAGAGAAGTAGAAAAATTTTTAAGGGGTAAGAGATTAGTGAAGCGAAGAGTTTTTTTTCTTTGTTTTTAGTGAATTTTTTTAACATTTTTTATAACATTAAATTATTTTTTTGCATTTTTCTTGAGAAATGATGCAGAAAAAAATTAAAAAATGATATCATTATTTGCTATTTTTCTTCCTTCACTATAAGAAATTTAATCGTATTAGTTAACTCTCATATTTATATCAACTAATTCTTTTTTAAAAAGACCAGAATATTAAGAGCAATCGAGAGGATAGAAATTAAAAATTTTAAGTAAGCATTGCGCGATCCTAAGCAATCCTAAATTAAGAGGGTTAATTCTCTAACTAAGACAAACACTTGTTGATTTTAGGGACCAGACGACATTAAAAGGACTCATAATCACTAAAGTTAATCCTTCCTTCACCCAAAAACACTGTCAATTTTGGAACCTGACTGGGGAGGCCGTATGCGAGAATCGAAATCGATATTACAAAAAATTTTAGTTCTCGAAAAACTGAATTTTGGCAACAAGAATCGTTCGAGATACCTAGAAACATCTTGATTCTCGATAACTTTGATTTTTGTTCTATATCTTCGGTTCAATCTCTAAATAATCTTTCCAAGCTTTGGTCTTCTGGGTGTTTTATTAATTTTTATCGTTTCTTAGAATGTATATCCTTTTATTTTTTATTTGTTTTAAAGTGGTTGAAGTCTCTTTTCTAAAACATTTTTTTCTTTCCTTCAATTATGAAAAACAAATATAAACTTTGACAATAGTAATATAGTAAATATATTCTAAGGCAATTTACGTGTGTAAATTGGAAAGAAAAAAATGAAAATGTTTTTTTAAAGAAAAGAAAAAAAATAGAAAGTTTTTAAAGAAAAGAAGCGTCACTGAGAAAAGCCGGGAACTAAATAAAAAAATATAAAAATGGGATGAACACTTTTCCCACATGTCCCGAAGAGTTTTACCCTTCTTAGCCCCTCTAGGCACAATTGCTTTGCCCTTCCTATTTTATTTATTTTTCTTTTTTTTACCGCAAAATAAATTTTATTTATTGTTAGCACAAGCGATTTCCTATATTTTATTTACTTAAAGTAAAATGAATTTTTTTTGGACTTTATTTGAGAGATATCGGAAATATTGAAATATTTTTTTTTCAAAATAATTTTGGCAATTTTTTAAATATTTCTCGACTAAAGTGACTAGAGCCTGGACTGGGAGACAGTCGAGATCGAATCTCCAAAAAATCTCGATAACCTAGATTTTTGTTTGAGATCTTGACTCGGTCCGGGCTTTACTTATGATATTCTCTCATCTATTTTTGCCCATTCTTATTTTATTTGTGACACTAGAATTTTTTCTAAATTTTAATTTTAAAATTTCAATTTCTCCCCTAATTTCTTCTTTTATTTTCCTCCATTTTTTTCTTCCAAAAATCCTTCTCCCATCGGACTCGTTTATTTACTTCATCGCCGTTTTCGTTTCATTTTTTTCTCGTTTTTACTTCTAAATTTCTACTACCCTTTTCCACCTCTCATTTTTTGTCCAAATCCCTTCATTCCCTCTCTCATTTCCATTTTTTATTTGTATATATTGGCCTATCTTTTTCTTCTTCCTTTAACTTTTTTTCTTTTATTTATTCCGGAAACTTTGGAATTGCTTTTAGATTAGCTATTATCTTTTTCTCCATTTCCGGGGTTCTTTTTATTTTTTAAGATTGATCAGTAAATACTAAAGCTCGAATTTTCAACCTGTTAGGACGGGTGTCTGGGTTTCTCAAACTGACCCGAGCCGGATTTTCCGGGCTAAAACCTCGAGCCCGGATTTTTGCTATCTTGTCGCACTTTTGCAATCTAATAAGTACGTTTTTTAATAATTTTTAAAGATAATTTTCAGATTTTTTTCAGGATTTGATTTTTATCAATTTATTCCTTTAATTAACTACACAGGTCTTTCTTCAAAAAAATTATTTTTTTGGTTTTTGAATGGGCTGCCTTTTTAAATGTTTAGATCCTGGACCACCAGATGATTCTGTTCGTCATTTTTGGCATATTAGAGGCCTTTTACTTGATGCTCTTCCTTGTAGTAGTAATAATGAAAATACCAACAGTCAACAGCAGCAACAACAAAAACAATCAAAACCTGATAATCTTTGTGTGCAGGAAAGTGGAAGTAGTAGTGGGGGAGGAGGTGGAAGAACAACAAAAAATGATGAAGAAAATGGTGGTGGAGGATTAATACCTAAATTAACTGTTCAGGTATTTTTTTAATTTTTTTAATTTTTTTTGAGTGTGAAAAAGCAGAAAAAAAACTTGGAACTAGAACCAGGTCTATCATTTCCAATACTAAAATAATTTTGATTTGGAAAAAATCTGAAAATTTTTAATTCTTCCAATTCTTCTTTTGCTCTAAATTATTTTGAAATTGCTTCTAATTTTTTTAGTAAATATAAAAAACAAATTTTTTCCAGTCATTTCCAATAAATTAAAGATGAAGTGGCGGGACCACACAGAAAACAAAAAATTCTTTTTTTAAATTTTTTAATTAAAATTTTTTTGAAAATTTTTTTAAAATTTTTTCAGAGACTTCCCCCAGGCGTTTTATACGTTTACGAAGGAAGACTAGTCTATAGAAGTAGACGTTGGATGCCTTGGCCTTCAAATATTTTTTTATTATCTTCTTCAAGTGGTCGACGACAACCAGGGGAATTTTCGATCGAATTGTGTCAAATTGGGGATGTAAATGTTGTTGAACAATTTATTTCTCAACGAGTTTGTTTTTTTAATTCTTTATTTTTTTTATGAATTGGCCCTTGGAAAAAAATTAAAGACCGGTTGACTCGATTTTGTTATTCTCCTCTTTGTGCTCCCCCAAGATTTTGTAGTTCTCAAGTCCGTTATTTTTTCAAAAAAAAAAGCTTTTCCAATTTTTTGGTAAAAAGTAAGTAAGCAATCCAGCTATCGAATAAAGTTTAATTTAATTTTGGGGGCGAAAAACATATTGGAGAAAAAATTAAATTTTGTTTTTCGTACCAGAATTGGAAAGGAAAATTTTTTTTCGATTATATTCTGGTTATCTAAAATTAATTTTTTTAATACTCTAAAAATATTTAATTAGTCAAAAATAAAAGAACACGCTTTTTGACTATTAGGCAAGAAATGGAAAAAAATTTAAGTCAAAAATAGTGAAGTATTTTGAAATTTGAAATTTTTAAGGTACAAAATTTCAAAAAAAAAATTAAAAAATTTTCTAAAATTTTTTTAAGGATGGAAAGCCTTTTCGTTGTCAAGGACCTTTAGTGGATGTTGTAGTAACTGGAAAACAACCAAATATTCATTTAGGCCTTTTAACAGCTCAACCAGATTGTGTGGGTAAAGAATTGAGAGAAGTATTTTTAAGGCATAGACAACGTCCAAGAATATTTCAATTTAATTCGGTTGATATTGATGGAGTTGAAATTGAAGTGCCATAAAATTTTGTTTAAAAGAGGAGAAATTTTTTAGAAGGAAAAATAAATAATTTTAAAATATCACTTTTTTGAGCTTTTTTTTAAATTAGTTTTTTGTGTCTCAATATTTTAATTATGTTAAATAAAAATTTTTTTGTTTAAGAAATTTTTTAAAAATATTATTTTGGTTATATTTACCAAAAAAAAATTTTTTTTTAATTAAGAATTTCAAAAATAATTATTCGCTTTTTTTTTAATGGTTGGAAAATTTGTAGAAATTGCATGGTGTTGCTGAAGAGGAAATGAAGTCTGCGGCTTGATGAGTTAACTACTATTCTTTTTTGATTCTGGATTAATTTTGAAGTGAATCTGAAGATGTTTGGTTATCAAAGTATTTTTTATTTTAGTAATTTTTTAATCAAAAAAAATATTTTTTCAAAGGTAAGGTGGGTGTTGGTGGAGGTTTGATTTTGTTGAGCGAGGTGCCTGACAATAACTGACAATATAGAAGGTTTGTTTTTTTTTAATTTATGTAAAATTAAGGTTAAAACATTTTAAAAAAATTTTCGATAATTTTGCGAGCGTTTTAAAATGTAAAAATTTTTATAAAAATATTTATGTTCAGAAGATTTTTTGCACTCTTATTAATTACAAAAAAAATTATTTTTTTTTATTTTTAATGAACAAAAGACTTTTTAAACTCTTTTTATTTTTTGGTGTCAAAACATTTTCTATCAAAAAAAGTCTATTATTATAATATTTTTTAAAACCCACAGCAGGCATTTTTGAGAACCAAAAAAAAGAAAAGAAAAATAAAAGTATTTTTATAAAACTAAAATGGGATTTTTTGGTTATTTCCCCCGTTTAATAATTTGGGAATAAAAATTAAATTTAAAGAATCGGGGGCTTTTCTAAATTAAAAAATTTTTAGAAGATTTTTTCCAAAATATTCAGACAATTTTAAAAAAATTTCCTAAAACTTTTTTTTTATTTATTTTTTATTTCTTTTTTTAATTGTTCTTTTTTTCCCTGCCTCTCCAACTTTTTTTCTTTTTTTTATATTATTTTTCCGTCTCCTTCCTGTTTAATGCTTGTCTCATTTATTTATTTTTAAAAGGCTTTTCACTCCTCTATTTTTAATTATTCTATTTATTTATGTTCTCCATTTAATTCTTTTTTTTTTTTTTGAATATTTAAAAAGTTGAAAGAGAAATTAGCATTTAATGCGCCAAGTATTTATTTAAAAATGTTATAAAACTTTTAAGAAAAAATTAATGCAAATTTATCTACGAATATATTTTTCTTCTAGTTAATTGCTAGTTTTTCTTGCTTTGAATAATTTAATTTTTCTTATAATTAATTTTCTTCTTCTTTTTTTAAATTTTATTTTACAGTCAAAACCTCAATTAAACCAATCCCTCTCGATTTCAGCAACTTTTCGAAAAATAAGCGTCGAATATATATATTTTAGAGAAATAAATATTCTTTAAAAAATTTTAAAAAAATTTTAAAATTTTTTTATTTAATTCAAAAAATTTCCAATTTTTAATTCTTTTATGAATTTAAAAAAGAAGAATAATTCGTTGCGCTAGATTTACCTATTTAAATAAATTTAATAAAAGAATTGAATCATTTTAAAGAAAGATCACACGCGGCGAACAAAAGAAAAATAATAAAAAAATTTTATTTTATAGGATTATTTTTATTTTTAAAATTTTTTGGTGATTTTATAAATAGAAAAAAAATTTTTGTAAATAAAAGAAACTTAGAATATTCCTCCAAAATTGCATTTTCCAAGAAAAAAAATTTTTGGAATAATTTTTTTTGGAGGAACTTTTCCCTAGAGATTTTTAAAAAATTCAACAAACATTTTTTATTTAATTTAAATAATTTTTTTTCTTTTTTTAGGATATATTTTTTGCTTCCAAAAAATGACAATCAACATTAACAACTACAAATTATTACAAATATTTAATAATGATGAGAAATGTTAAAAATAAACAACAAAATAATTATTTTTATTATTGGAACAGGTGGAGGAGAGGAAGGTAAAGATTTTTTTTATTTTTTAATCGAAATGGGAATGAAAAATTTGAAAATTATTTTTATTCCAATATCTTTAAATTAAATTTTGATTTTTATTAAATGGGATCAAATGTCTCCTTCAAAATAATTTAACTTTTTAAATTAAGTAAAACATCGTCATTTTCTCAACTTTACAAATATTTTCTTTTATTTAATTTTATTGTTTGGATAAATGCATCAAAATGCACGTTTAAAGGTTTTTTTTAAATTTTTTAATAAATATGGGATCAAATGTCTCTTAAATATTTTTATTTTTTTAATTTTTAGAAGGCAACAGTGACACTTTTTATTTAACAAAAGACAATTTTCCTTCTTCTAATTTGTCTACAAATATTTTTAAAATACCTCAATGTGCTTGTGAAGAAGATTGGACTCATGCTTTTTGTAGTAGATCAGAAAAATATTTAAAAATGTCAAAGGAAAAGGCGCCAACAATTTGTGTTTGCAGGTTTTTTGAAATTAAAAAATTTTTTTAATTTTTTAAAAAGAAAAATGATTGGAATACTGAAGTGTGTTCAATTTTTGTCGAGGTGTTTTAGACATAATGTTGCTGTTAGTACTGGACAAATTAATATAAAGCAACAACATCGTCCACTAGTGATAAATGAAAAATGCAGTTGTTGTTTTAATGTAAATATAATTTTTTAAATAATTTTAGTGTAGGAAACTAGAAGTAGAATTTTAAGGGAAAAATCAGAACAGAAAATTTCTGTAGCATTTTTTAAAAGTATGTCGATAAAGTCTGTTAGCTTTTTTATCTGAGATTACACAAGTATTTTTTCTTCTAAAAGGGATATATTTACTTTGTATAATTTTTTTAATTAGTTTAAAAATTTCGGACTTTGTCGTCATAATTTAAAGAAGTACGTTTGGTGGTTAGGCATTACGGGGTTTGGTATTTACGGGACATCCCAATTTCTTTAATAAAATTTTCTAAAAATCTAATTTTTTCTATTTTTAGCAACCCGACGCTTTTTGTAACCAATTAGAATGTCATCAAATGAGCCCAATATTTGAACAAACATCTAATACTTCTTGTAAATGTTTTTCTCCAAAAATTACAGAAGAAAAAATATCAAAAAAATATTTAAATTTAATTGAAACATTGTGTGGAGAATGGAAAGGAAAAATTATTGACTATGATGATGAAGATGAATTAAAGGTTTTTTTTATTTTAGAAAAAATTTTAGAAGGGAATTTTAAAAATTTCGATACTGATAATTTTGTTGGAGTCTTTAAAAGTTTTTATTCACTGCTAATAGCTTTAATTTTCATTAGAACTAATGGTAGTTTGATGTCATAGCGGTAGTGTGCTAGGCTACACTACTTTTTGTTGTAGGTTCGAATCCTCTTGGGGTTAAAGATTTTTTTCTTTAATATTTTAACGTTAATTTTCTTAATTTTTTAAATTTAAAAATTAAAAAATTTTTTTTTTAATTTTTAGCTTTATTCATCTTCTAATAACAACAATATTCCTTCTACCAGTCATTCAACAACAAACAAAAATTTAAATAATTTATTTAATTCAACAGCTCCATTTGCAAGATTTTTGTCGTTCCTTTTAATTGTATTAATTGGTGCTTTAATTTTGGCTATATTAGCTTGTTTTTGGAGTCATTGGAGAAGACAATATTTAAGAAAAAAGTGTGAAATAAAATTAGAAAATGAACAAAAACAAATTAAAAGAAGTCAACAACTTTTGTGTGAACAGGAAGAAGAAGGAGGAAGAGAAGAAGAAAATTTAAATTTGAATGAAATTAATAATAAAGGGTTGGAAACTGAAAGAAGAAGAATAATTGTACAAGAAATTGCTGTTTAAAAAAGGAGGAAAAATTTTTAAAAATTCTTTTTGTGTAAATAGGTATATTTAAATTAATTTTAATTATTTTATTTGTTTTTTTACCTGATTAGAAGTTGAATTCTTCCTTTTTTGGGGTTTTCTAATATTTTAGACTTAATTGTTATTCCAATTCAACTTCCTATCCCTTTAATATTATTTTTAAAAATTTTCTTACACTGTACAGGATCTTGCCTTTTCACTCAAGAGGCCTTATTTTGTACTACAACTTTTTTTGTTTAATTTTAAACATGATCAGTTCAGTTCTGTTAGGAATAAAAGCGCGGAATTCAGAGCTTTCGATTGATATAAGAATTAAAAAAGTACTCTCAAATTTAGAGCTTCGAGAGTGAAATGGTTGGACTCTGAGGTTTACCTACCTCTTATTTAAATTTCTTTATGCTCTATTTTTTATAAAATAAATTTATTGATATTTTTATTTTGAAATAACAAGCATTTTTTAAAGGCTTTTATACTATTTTTCTAAAATTTCTTAAATTTAGTTTATTAAAACCTCCAATTTTAAAAAATATCTTCTCTTTTAACAAAGAAGTGAACAACAATCAAAAAATGCAGAATGAAGGTAATCTTGTAAATTTATTAGAATTAAAAGGGAAATGAAGAAGAGTTCGAAGCAACAGTTTCGACTTCGATCTGAACTTAGGCAAGACGGTCAACTGTCCACTACTCCTTTAAGGAAATGAGAATAATGCACTAACTGTCCATCGTCTCTTGTTTTTGCATTCTCTCTCTTCAATTATTGATTTTTGTCTCTGTCCGTTGCTTAGCAAGCAAAATCATGAAGTGGTTAGAGAAGACAAAGTTTTTATTTTTCTTATTTTCCGCGGGAAAAAATAAATTTTGACTTCTCTGACCAATACACGATTTTGTTGTCTATGCAATGGTCAGAGAAGAAAATCAATAATTAAAGAGGGATAATGGAACGACATGAGAGACGTTTGTTTACTTTTTTGTTTTTAATAGGGAAAAAGGTTATACATATTGATTTGTTTGCGTCTCTTGTTCATTCAATAACCTTTTTTTGTTTACATTTTAAATGTTTTGTGGACAGAGTCCAAAGATGAGCAATTAATTTATTCTTTTTTTAGTCAACAAGCAATTCAAAAATTAATGAAGAGTTATTTCATCAAAATGTTTCAACAACAACAACAAGTTCATCAACAAACAAATTTTTATTCCAACGTCCTTCAATTGAATGAATCATTCATTTCTTCATTGAAACAACAATGGAAAGGATTCTTGTCTTCCACTTCTTCAGATGTCAACAAAAATTGCTTAAAAACACCTTCACCAGCTCGAAAGATGAAACAATCTGTTATTTGTAAAAATATTGGAATCTGTTGCTGATGATTTCAGGTTTTGTTTTTTTGATTATTTTTGTGGCTTGTAAATGAAAGCTTGTAAAAGAGCTTATCCTCTGTCAGGCATAGATCCTTTGTCTCGCTCCTGTCTGTTGATGGGGTATCGGGTTATTAAAAGTCCATGTTTCCTCAGTCCAACGATCTTTTCCATTTGCTGACATAACAAATGGGGTTCCGGCTTATCAGTGAACGGGGTATCCCAGGAGCGTTTTTTTCTGTCAATAAAAAATTTTCTTTTAATAAAATTTTTTCCTTTATAGAAGCTGCACTAACTCAATTTGGCAACAGCAAAGATGGGGCAACATCGGTTGGCACTCCTACAAGTTCACACTACAACAACACACATACAAGAAAAAACAGAAAAGGGTTTAGTCCTTGAGGGGGGGGGGGCTATGTTTGCCTTCTGACCGGGGGGTTTAGGTTTTTTGCGGACAAAACTTGTGGTCATCCACTAAAACAACATAATGTTTTTATTTACTTCAGCAATTCTTGCTCTTCATGGTGGTTGGCCTTTCTCTTCCTGCTGGTGGCAATGCTCTTCATACGCCTATGTGGCCCCCATTGGTGAATGACTTGGTGTACCCCCTTGGTGATTGACTTGTGGACCCCCTTGGTGATTGACTTTGTGGCCCCCGTGGTCCCATTGTTGATTGACTGTGGTCCAATTGTTGATTGACTGTGGTCCCCATTGGTGTTTGACTGTGGGTCACATTGGGTTGGCCTTCTCTTCCTGCTGGTGGCAATGCTCTTCATACGCCTATGTGGCCCCCATTGGTGAATGACTTGGTGGACCCCCTTGGTGATTGACTTGTGGACCCCCTTGGTGATTGACTTTGTGGCCCCCGTGGTCCCATTGTTGATTGACTGTGGTCCCCATTGTTGATTGACTGTGGTCCCCATTGGTGTTTGACTGTGGGTCACATTGGGTTGGCCTTTCTCTTCCTGCTGGTGGCAATGCTCTTCATACGCCTATGTGGCCCCCATTGGTGAATGACTTGGTGGACCCCCTTGGTGATTGACTTGTGGACCCCCTTGGTGATTGACTTTGTGGCCCCCGTGGTCCCATTGTTGATTGACTGTGGTCCCCATTGTTGATTGACTGTGGTCCCCATTGGTGTTTGACTGTGGGTCACATTGGGTTGCCTTTCTCTTCATGGTGGTAGCAATGCTCTTCATACGCCTATGTGGCCCCCATTGGTGAATGACTTGGTGGACCCCCTTGGTGATTGACTTGTGGACCCCCTTGGTGATTGACTTTGTGGCCCCCGTGGTCCCATTGTTGATTGACTGTGGTCCCCATTGTTGATTGACTGTGGTCCCCATTGGTGTTTGACTGTGGGTCACATTGGGTTGGCCTTTCTCTTCATGGTGGTAGCAATGCTCTTCATGGTGGTTTGCTCTTCATGGTCAACAATCATCAGGCAAGTTTGTTTGTTATATATATTAAACATCCGCAAGTTTTGTCCGCAAATAAGCCCACTTAAATCCCTGGTTTGTATCTGGAGGAGTGAAGTGTTTTTTTAAACATTTTTAGAACTTGGAATTAACCCAAAATGCTATTTTGTAGACGACGGACTCGCTCGGCTTCCATCTAAAATGTATGTGGATTCGACTACAAATTAAAAATAGCAGTTTCAGGTTTTGTTTGGTTTATTCGATGAAATATCTTTTGTACATTATTTTTTATCCATTATTTGTATAAAATAAATTTATTGACATTTTTTATTTTGAAATAACACGCATTTTTTAAAGGCTTTTAAATTTTTCTAAAATTTATTAAATTTAGTTTATTAATATCTCCAGTTTTAAAAATGACTTCTGAAAGTATTTTTGAGCCTAGTCAATTGTTAACAATACTTCAACAACGAGAAACTTTTCAAAGTAATGAGCTTGCTGAGCAATTAAATATTGATCATCAAAAAATTGTTGGAGCAATAAAAAGTTTGCAGAGTCATGAGGAGGTTTGTTTGGGAGGATTTTAAATTTAAAAAAATTTTTTAGTTGGTAGATGTAAAAGAAATCAAAATATCAAAACTTCAATTGACACCAGAAGGAGAACAAGTTTTGGCTGAGGGATCTCATGAATATAGAGTTTTTGATTTGGTTGGGGAACAGGGTGTTCCTAAAGCGATTATTGATGTGAGGTTTAATTTTTAAATCTTCGTTTATGTTCCCATATAGGGTTGTCGGGTCGGGGTCGAACCAAAGAGCATGGGTATTTTTCGGTTCAGGATGTCCAAAAATTTTCCAAGGGCGGCCACTAACATGAATAGGGCCCTCCATCTGAATTAAAAATTTTTCTTTAAAGAAAGAATCTTTTGGACCCATTGGTTTTGGAAAGGCAATATCTGCTGGTTGGATAACTACAGAAGTCAAAAACGGAGTTAGTTTGGTCGTTAGAAAAGCGAAACTTGTTGAAGACAAAGCTAGGCATGAGCTTAAACAAATAAAAGAAGGAATGCATAAGTTGGATACAAAAACTATTGGAAATTTGAAAAAGAGAAAATGGATAAATGAAATGTATATTTTTTTAAATAATTTGTTTAAAAAAATTTATTTTTAAAGATCTGTCAAGGCGTTGATTGTCTCTAAAGGTGCTAATTTCAATGAGAATTTGTCTAAACCTGAATTGGATTTGACAACTGAAATGATTTCAACGTTAGTTTTTTGTAAATAATTATTTTGCTGTCGTTAGCTTTAAGTCTATTTTCTGAAAAGGAAATCTTATTGTTATTTGGCTGTTAGTTAAGAAAACCTTTGGCACCTGTCTAATTTATGCGTTCAATGGACCTTTATGAGTCCAATAATTATCAAGAGGTCGCTTTTCGATCCCTACTGGATAGCTAGGCATACAAAATTTTTAATTATTAATCTGGCCAGTTATAAATCAAATCTAAAAATCATTTTAATCAATCTCAAAAATTCAAAAATAATTTTATTTTCAGGGGTTCTTGGCGGAACAAAAACTTCAAAAAATACAATTTTGAAGCAATGGGAATAATTCCCCAATCTGGCCATTTACATCCTTTACTCAAAGTTAGAGCTGAATTTAGAGATATTTTCTTTCAAATGGGATTTTCTGAGATGCCAACAAATAAATTTGTGGAATCTTCCTTTTGGAATTTTGATGCTTTATTTCAACCACAACAACACCCAGCTAGAGATTCTCACGATACTTTCTTTTTGACAGGTTTTTTTGAAAATAATTTTGTTTTTTGGGTATATTATATGTATTAGGGATGGGATGTATTAGGGATGGGATCTATCGGGTTTCGAATAACCCGTCATATTCCATAGTAGTACTTCGTTAGTAACAACTCCTATTGCTTCAAATTTTTTTTAATATTAGAACCAGCAATTTCTACTGAATTTCCTAAAGACTATGTTGAGCGTGTTAAAAAAGTGCATTCTGAGGGTGGATATGGATCTCTAGGGTATTTTTTTTATTTTTTTTTTAAATTTTTAACTCCTGAGCATTTGATTGTATGCTTTTTAACTTAAAAGCTAAAACAATTTACATAAAAGTTAGTAATTAACAAACCATTTATTGATCCTTTGTAGTGTAGTCGGTTGTGTATAGGTTTTGTGGTTATAACCTTAAAGGTTCGATTCCTTTTTAAAATAATTTTCTTTATATTTTTTTAATATTTATTTTTAAAGATACAAGTATGATTGGAACATCAAAGAAGCTCAAAAAAATTTACTACGAACACACACAACAGCAGTTTCAGCAAGACAATTATATTCACTTGCTAAAAAGGTTTTTTTTCTTTTAAATTTTTAGAAAAAAATTTCTTTCCCTAAGGGTTTTGTGCCAACAAAAATGTTTAGTATTGATAGAGTTTTTAGAAATGAAACTTTGGATGCTACCCATTTAGCTGAATTTCATCAAGTTGAGGGAGTCGTTGCAGAAAAAAATCTTTCTTTGGCACATGTTATTGGACTTTTTACTGAATTTTTTAGGAAATGTGGTTTGTTTTTTTCTTTTGAAAGAATAAGGTTTAAAAATGGGAATATAGTTTAGGTGTAGGGACCGTTTAGGGGGACAATAATTTTGCTTTGATGAGTCAAGGCTTTCCTACAGGATAAGGGATAAAACTTATTGTCCTTACACGTTCCTATAAATTATTGTAGAATAATTTTAAAAGAATTCCTCAATATTTACCTAAATTTTTTCCCGTTTTTTAAAGGAATAGAAAATCTTCGTTTTAAACCAACATACAATCCATATACAGAACCTTCTATGGAAATATTTGCTTATCATCAAGGATTAAAGAAATGGGTAGAGATTGGAAATTCTGGAATGTTTAGACCTGAAATGCTTTTACCAATGGGTTTGCCTGATAATGTTTGTGTTGCTGGTTTTGGATTGTCTCTTGAAAGGTTTGATTTTTTTAAATTAATTTTTTTTAATTTAAAATTTCTAGGCCAACAATGATTCGCTATGGAATTTCAAATATTCGAGAGCTTTTTGGACACAAAATTGATCTTCAAATGGTCTACAATAATCCGATCTGTCGACTTGATGTAAAAGAATAAAGATTTTTATAAAGAATATACTCTTGTTAATTAATATATTGAATTTGTTTATATTTTTAGCTGTTAAAGTTTTAATGGGGTTTTAAAATATATATTACAAGTTTGGAAAATCGATATATCGATTAGCATCGATTAGTATCGATTTTTTGAAAATTTGGAATTTTCAAAAATAAATTATCGATTAGTATTGATTTTATCGATTGGTATCGATTTTTTGAAAATTTAAAATTTTTGAAAAATAAATTATCGATTAGTATTGATTTTATCGATTAGTATCGATTTTTTGAAAATTAAGAATCTTTAAAAAATAAATTATCGATTAGTATTGATTTTATCGATTGGTATCGATTTTTTGAAAATTTAGAATTTTTAAAAAATAAATTATCGATTAGTATTGATTTTATCGATTGATATCGATTTTGAAAATTTGGAATTTTTAAAAAATAAATTATCGTTTAGTATTGATTTTATCGATTGATATCGATTTTTTGAAAATTTAGAATTTTTAAAAAATAAATTATCGATTAGTATTGATTTTATCGATTGATATCGATTTTGAAAATTTGGAATTTTTAAAAAATAAATTATCGATTAGTATCGATTTTATCGATTGATATCGATTTTTTTAAAATTTAGAATTTTTAAAAAATAAATTATCGATTAGTATTGATTTTATCGATTGATATCGATTTTGAAAATTTGGAATTTTTAAAAAATAAATTATCGATTAGTATCGATTTTATCGATTGATATCGATTTGTTGAAATTGGCCTCTCGGCTCTCAAAAAGCCGCGCTCAACCGACCACAGTTTTTGTATTTCTTTTTTATCTCTACCAGTACTATTTCTTTATTTCAATTTCTCTAACTATGGGGATAAAAAGTCATTTATTTTAAATATATTTCATTATGCCAAACTACGCGTTTGTTTTTATTTTTCAAATTTTCACTCTTTTCTTCGCGTCACTTGCACAGCATTTCACAAATATTTTGTCCAATTTTGTGGACTAAATGTCATCAAATTTATACGAAAGCATCATTTATATTAGAAAATTAGATATCACATACATATACATAAAAATAGAAAAATCAGAAATCGCTATCTGACTGGTCTGAATAAAATAAGAAGATCGCCACCCTGAAAAAATAAGAAAAAGTATATTAATTAAAATAATCGAGTACTTGAAAAAAGGATCGAGATACTTGGTGAAAATCCAGGTATGCTTGTCCAAGTTATGGAATTGAGGAAATTTAAAAAAATTGCCTGAACCTTGGACCCCCTAAAAAACCCCAATCGCTTGACTATAGTCCCACTAACAAGACTCACTACTTTTTCAAGTACTTCGATTGTTAATTCCCCAAAAATTTCAAAAAAAACCTGTTTCCATATCAAATGTTTAACAGTCCTCAAATCCATTTCTGGATCCAATTTTTGATCATTACAAAAAAGCTCAATTTTTTCTTCAATATTTTCAGGCATTGCAGGTAAACTTGAAGTTGTTGTTCCACCACCTCCATTTTCATTTGATGAATTATCTGCCGGATATAAAATTTTTTCCCAAACATGTTCCATTACTTTACGGCATTGAAGCATTTCTGTTGCGCTTAAACGATCTCTGAAAAAAATTCAAAAAAATTTTTTTAAAGAGTTCCAAAGGACACAAACTTTTTTATTTGAAATTTGGGAATAAAAGAGCCATGAGGTTGCAGATAAAATGGAATTTTGTTGAATTTTGGAAAATGATTGGATTCAACAACCTGAAAATTTAAAAAAAATTTAAGGAAAAAGAAAAACCAAACTTGTAAAACCCAAACAGGCAAAACATCTTTTAACATTGCCGAATCAGATTGTGAAGCAGCATCACGAACACTTGTTCGAAATAAAGGTCTCACAAGATCATCAGTACTTTGACTAAAGAAAAAATAAGTTATAAATTAAGAAATTTCTAGGAGTAAAAATGATACAGAAGAAAAAATATTTGGGAGAACTGTACACAATTTTAGTTCTTAAATTTTGAAATGTCTTAAACTGAAAGTATCTTTTCTTTTTTTTTTCTCCAAGGAAAATTTGCAAAAAAAAACAAAAAAACCTAACCGAATAATAATTGGAGTATGCAAAGGAAGAGAATAAAATCCTTGTAATGGAGAATCACCATCATCGCCTTGATAAGAATATGGCCATCTTTCAAAAAGACTTCTCAACAACAGACCACCAAAATTGACTTTAAAAAATCAAAAAATACTTTTTAAAAAGTCTTAACGAAAACCTTTAGCATCACTTGGTTTATCAGCAAAACCAGCATCTCTAGCAGATACCCAAGCAGAGAAAACATCACTTTCATCTAATGTGATCTCAAGAACCTTGAAAAAATCTTTTTAAAAATTTCAAAAAACAACTTACTCCACATTTAGTTTCAACAGAGAACCAACTAGGTATCCAAGACTTTCTAACATTTTCTCTAATAACGTCTTCTATGCTCGTGCCTTGCGGCAAATTTTTTAATTTTTTAGCTTGTAAAGCATCCCAAAGTTCCAAATTTCCATTGCTGTCTTTACTAACAATTTGGCGACGATCATTTAAGACGGCATATTTTCTGATACTTGGAGCACCTTAAAAAAATTTTTTAACCAAAAACTGTATGTTAAATTTAGGTAGAAATTTTTATCAGATGGAGTTTCGATTCGTAAAACTCGGATTTCGGTTATCGAGTACCTCGTGGCATACCTAGTAGCTAATAATAACAAATCCCCAACATTCCCCTCGCCCCCTCCACAAAATGCATAAATTATCTTTATGATCTATTTAATTACCCCCCAAAAAATTAAAAAAAAACCTCCAATAGTCATGTCAGGTTGTCTAACTTTTGGTGATGTATTGTCAAATCCATGAAAATCAAGAGGTATAGGCCAACGATTAATAGAAGAATCCCAAGTAGCAGCCCATAAATGTTTTTGCTGTTGCTGTTCGCCATCATTGACCAAAATTAATTTTTGTATAGGTTTTTGTTCAATAAAAAGAAGGTCAGAAGTTCCCAAATTGCGAATTGGTGTTCGAAAAACTCGACGATCTCGACCACCCGAATAAATTGTAGAGAAATTTGAATCTGTCTAAAATTGAAATTTATTTTTATAAATTAAATTTAAAAAATTTTTATTTTTCCTATAGTTAGAAACAAAAAAACTATTAAAAACTTGTTTAAAAAATAATTAAAGTTGAGAAAACACAACTATAAAATAAAAGAAAACGATGCTAAAAAGCAATACACTATCAGGCATCGAACCCTAAACTAAAAGTCACTCGTAAACCACTACACTACCGACTAACATAAATCAATATAGAAAAAAATTAATGTCTACTACGAGAAAACTCAGCTAAATTTTTAGAACATTTTTGAATAACTTTTATAAATTAAACCTGAAGAGCCCAAACGCTATCTGAATGACATCTGACCGCACCAATACAACGTTGTTGTCCAATACTCCAAAGGCGAATAGTTCCATCACTGCTACCTGACAAACACTAAAATCTCAAAAATTTTTAATAATTTAAAAATTCAAAACCATAGTTCCTTCTCTATTAACAGCAATTGCTCTAATATTTTCTGTATGTCCACGTAATTTAACAATTTTTTGACATGTTCTAGGGTCCCAAACTCGAAGAATATTTTCTGTTGAACCAGCAATAATAACTGTGCCTAATTCATTCATGGCAAGTGAATAAATGCTGTTTTTGGTTCCACGTAATGAAGAAGCTATCAATTTTTTAAAATTATTTTTAAGCGTAAAATAAAAGGATAGAATGTTAAGGGTCGAAAAAATGTTCGAGTTTATCTCTAAAAATCCTAAACCCGTGGAAAAACACTTAGAATGCTATTGTCGATGAAATTTTTAAAGACAATTTTCAAGAAAGCATCTGCTCTAAAAGAGATGTTGTTAGAGTTAATTTTAGGATGGTCAAAGAAACAAAAATTTGTTTACTCTTCCACCACAGTCCTAACCCCTCCCAAAAAAATATAAATAAAAATTAAAAAATATATACTTGTAACTGTATTATTTGTAGCTGTCACTTTAGTAAGTGTATTAACATCCCATAAATATATACATTTATCCAAACCAGCACTAGCAACAGTCTCTGAAGGTTCACGAGAATAGGCCAAACAACGAACACAATCTTTGTGTGTTTTTAGAGTTGAAAGACAAGTTCCTTTTTTTCTGACATCCCAAACTTTTACTGTTGTGTCGGAAGATGCAGAGATTACTAAAAAAGAAAATCTAGGCCTTAATTTAAAAATAAAAACCAACGTCTACTTCCACCACTACACAGAACAATATCATTAACCCAATCACAATGATGTTCTAAACAACGAAGAAATGGATCATTTAAACCTTGTTTTGCCAAAATATCCCATTGTCGAATTAAAGAATCTGAACCAGCAGAAAATAAATGCATTGAACTACAATCATATTGAAGAGAATTTATAAATCCTCGATGCTTTGTTTCTATTGGAGAATTTCTTATTAGAAAAGAAATCTAAAAAATAAAAAAAAATATTAAGCAAATTTTTTATTTAAAGAAAACCTGTGTTTTCTTTTTTATAGAAGGAGGTGGTTGTTGTTGTTGTTGCTGTTGCATTATTTTAGTAAGGAAAATTAATTTTTGTTTGCTGAAAACTTTTTTTGAATAATTTTAAGATGTTTCAAATCAAAAAAGAAAATCTAGACTTAAATGAATCCTTTAAAAATTATTTAAGTTTTAACGAAAAAGTGTGTTTACTGTCTGAAAACGAAAACAAATTTTAAAAAATACTACAAATATTTTTTTTGCAAAATATCAATTTTTATGTCGCCATAAAAACATCTTCTATGTCAGCAGTTGCAACTCCCAATGGGTCCTTAAAAACATTGAAATTGTACTATGTAAAGGTCGATACTTTTACAATCATTGCTAAAAAAGGAACAACTTAAAAATTACACAATAAATCCTAAAAGTTTAGAACCACAAAAAAAATAAAATTAAAACCTTTCCAATTTCTCTTCTGCTCTTCCTATTTCTACTGCATCCTTCAATTCCAATCAAAAATTTAGGCGTTGAGGAGGTAATAGAGGATGGCCAGAGTCTAATTCAAAATTGTTGGCATCTCTAAAAATTCAAAAAAAATTTTTCTTCAATTTACAAACAAAAACCATTACATTTGATCACAAATAAAATGTAAAAAGCGAGTAAGTGGAGGCCCCTCTGCTGGTGTGTTGTTATTGTTGGTGATGGTCTAATGATAAAATTAACGGGAAATCCCCGAAGGAGACATAACTCCACGGCACTGACCTACGAGAAACTCACAGGCACTGACCGACAAGATAACTCACTGGCACTGACCTACGAGAAAACTCACAGGCACTGACCGACGAGATAACTTACTGGCACTGACCTACAAGAAACTCACAGGCACTGACCGACGAGATAACTCACTGGCACTGACCTACGAGAAACTCACAGGCACTGACCGACAAGATAACTCACTGGCACTGACCTACGAGAAAACTCACAGGCACTGACCGACGAGATAACTTACTGGCACTGACCTACGAGAAACTCACAGGCACTGACCGACGAGATATCTCACCCAAAAAATCCCCAAAGGACAACTCACCCAAAGAAACCCCAAAGAGACAACCCCAAAACCTGAACATGAAGAAGCATGTCGATAAAGAACACTAAAGAAGACCTGTAGATTATTTGAAATAGAAATAATTAAATTAGCAAAATTCTTAAAAAATATTCACCGTCATTAAACGGAAATTATTCAAAAATAAATGAATTAAGTTTAACGAAAAAGTGTGTTTACTGTCTGAAAACGAAAACAAATTTTAAAAAATACTACAAATATTTTTGTTTGCAAAATATCATTTTTTTATGTCGCCATAAAAACATCTTCTCTGTCAGCAGTTGTAACTCCCAATGGGTCTTCAAAAACATTGAAATTGTGAAAATGTAAAGGTCGATGATCTTCATGATAAAATTCTTTTGGGGCTGCTAAACAAACATCATATTGCATATTTGAATCGTGTCGAACACCTTAATATATTTAAAAAAATAAAAATTTCTAGGGTTTTGTAACTTAAAAATTTGATTTTTAAGAGTAAATCATCAAAAATAATCTTTAAAAAAATTTTAACGAACCCATAAAATTATAATTCCAAACAGCAGATGACGGAACCATAAAATAGCCAAGAAAACGATCAGACAAAAGCATTTGTACTTTTTCATAATGTGACGGCAAATAACCTTTTGGATTATTCCCTTTATCAGTATTATTACGTCCCCATTCATAACCACTCGGAGTTAAACGATAAGCAGTTAAAGAGACTGATCCAGGTGTAAAACTACAAGTAACAATAACACTTCTTTCACCATCCCATTGATTTTGATGAATAATTTTTGAATGCATTGTAACATCTTGCGGTGATAATTGTGGTAATTCATTTGGTTGAGTATGCATCCTTAAAAATTTTTTTTTAATTTTCGAAAATTTTCAAAAATTTTTTAAAACAATCTTACCATCCAAGAGGTTCCAAATCTTTCAAAAATTCATGTTGTGGAAGTTGATTTGGTAAATGTACAACTTGATGTGTTCCCCATTGTGGTGGTAATATAATACAACGAATTTCTTTTACATGTGAATTATCTGGTGGAGAAATTCCATAAATATAACCAGCAATTTGTGTTCGTAAATCAGAAATTGTTATGAATTTTTTAAGAATATTTTTGGGCAAAATATATGTATAGCCAGTATCTTTAACATCATCAGAGTTGACATAAATATGTTGAGTTCGTAAATGTAAATTTGTAGAGCTTTAAAAAGAATCAAGTTGAAAAGATGAAAAATAATTGAAAAATGCTTTTTCTGTTTAAGGTATCCAAAAATCTTATTACTAGTTAATAGGTACATGATTTCCCAACTCCGAGGATTCAAAAATCTTTTTTATGTCGGCAGCTTCCGTGGTGTAGATCCAAATGAGACTTATAATTACCACCCTACTTTCCCTCCCCTCTCAAAAAATAAACAAACAAAAAAACAAACCTTATAGCTCTAACACGCCATTCAGTTCTTGAAGAAAATGTTTGTGTTTCATAATTACTTGTAGTTGCTGAAATAATTTCATCACCATGTTTATTAACAGATTTTGTTGTTGTAGCAGTTAATTGACTTTGTTCTTTTGTTTGTTTTTCAATTTCAGCAATTTGCTGTCTTTGTTGTGATGGTGCACTAATTTCCATTCCAAGAATAATATCTCGAACTTCTGATTGTGTTAATGAACCAACATTCACATTATTTTTCTTTCCATAATCATTTAATATCATATCTTTTAATGCTAATTCAACTTTAATCCATTCATCATCAGATAATGTTGGCCAAATATGATGAGATTCTGTTACTGTTGTTCTATCAGGTTTTAAAATAACTTTGGTCTTGTCTGGATTTATATGCATTCCACGCATTATTAAAATAACTCGAGAAAATGCTGTATAACTTGAAATTGTCTGGAAAAAAAAATATTGAAATTAAAGATTGGCAGAGGATGATTCCTAATTTCAGTATTCCCAGGTTTAAGCGACAAAAGGAATTAACTCGATTTTTAAACCCACCGGATCCTCCCCTTCAATCTTTTGAAACAAAACCCATGACGGGATATCGGGGCGTAATAATCTCTAGTTAAAATAAAAATTAAAAAATTACAAACCTTAAGCCAATCATCATAAAGATTAAATAAGACCATTTGAGGTTCATTTGCCTTTAGAATCAGATCACCAAACTTTTCAATCTTAAAAATTTTTTTAGAATTTATTGAACAAAAATTTTCTCTTACTCTCATAATAGCTTGGAATGGTAACATTAATTCAGATCCTTTAATAACTATATTTGGAAAATCAAGCAAGTGAACTTCCAAGGGATCAAGCATAGCTTTACGTGTTACAATAATTTGTCTAGGTTGTTCTTCAACTGGTAATGAACGAATTAATGCAGCAACTTCTTCAGCAGTTTTCCATTTTGCCAACTTTAATAAAACAATGATAAAAAAGCAAAAAAATCAAAAAAAAAACCTGGCTCAAACGTTTCTGACCTGCCCAAACACTTGTATGAATAATTTTTAAGAAAAGCTGTCCTGTTCGAGGATTAAAGATAAAAATGGCTCCATTCATCGGTTTGGTAGTTAAGTTGCCTTCAAAAGTCTAAATACAACAAAAAATATTTTTAAACAAATTTATGTAATTATAAACCTTGTGAATAGTTACACGATATACATTTGTATCGTCAACAAACCAAATACTAAAAAATTAAAAAAATTTAAATAAAAAAAGCAAACAAACATTTGATTGCTAAAAAGTTCTCCATAATTTTGTGATGTAAGATATGGCTCTGTAGGTTCAGAAGAGTATAATTGAAGACCTTTTCGAATACGTTCACGAAGTACATAAAGTGCAGGATTTGCTTTAATTATTTTGGCCATAGCTTGACGAATTAATTCTTTCATTCCTGGGAACCAATTTCCATAAGCGCTGTATAAATTATATGCCAAATCAATTGCAATTAAAATTCCATTCGGCTATAATAAAATAATAAAAATAAGTGACCCATTACCTTTAATGCGACAACCAATCGCGCGCGTTCTACGACAGATGTTAGGTGACAAGACGCAAGCGAGGCGGAAGAAGCTGGTTCTTAATGAACAACGCCGGAATCTTGTCATCTGCCGTCCGTCGCAAGACGCACGCAAGACGCGCGCGATTTTATGTGAACGTAGCATAAGATAAATTTTTACCGATGGATATATAGACATATTGTCAGTTGTATAATCAAGGAATTTAGCACGTGAATAACGTTCAATATCGTGAGAATCATAATCACCCCAACGAAGTTGAACATCAAGCCAAAACTTTTGTGTTGTTGTATTATCCATTACATCTTTAGTATCAGCCAAAAGAGATGGACGAGAAATATGCCATTTATATTGTGCAAAAAGTAAAATATCAGCACAAGAACTATTCATCTTGTACGATTTACGAGGGTGAATAGTTTCTTTTTGAACTGTTTGAATTTCTAGAGGATCAAGTTCGAGATCAAAAACTTGACATAAATCCATAACAACAGACTCGTGAATTTTTTGCCACAAGTGAGCACGGAAGATCTGTATAAAAAAATTAGTAGAAAGACAAATGTTCAAAAAATTCACCTGAATAAGAGAAATTTTAAGCGTTGGCAATTTTCCATGCATAAAAATTCCTGTCAAGTCCAGTTGCACTTGGAAACCAACATAAACCTAACATTAAACAAATATTAAAAAATTAAATATAAAAACAAACGTTTGCTCTATTTATTGTAGGAGACCACCAAAGTGTAAAACGACGATTTGGAATTTGATTTAATCCAGAACGTTGGGCATTTGTTAATTTTTTGAATTTCATCGACTCCTCGAAACCAGACGCACGTTCCCAAAAAAGTCCTTCCCATGTAGGGAAATAAGTGCCCTAATTAACGTTAAAATTTTAAACAAAAATAATTTAAAAATTCAACTCGAAATAGTGTATGTTCAAGAATTCCTTCAACACCTCCTAATGCTTGTATCATATCAGTTCTATAATTGTTCAAGTTCCAAAGTTTTCCATCATGTCTTTGATGTGTCCACCAAAAAGGATTTTGTTTCAAAATTTGATAAGCCTTAAATTCTGTTCGAACTCTCCATCCTTTGTCATAAGCAAGTGTATTTCTATCTTTTTGGAAAAGTGTATTGATTCGAGGAATTCCTCTATCCCAACTATCATCCAAATCCTCCAAAGTAAGACGTCGATTTTGTGCATTTGCTTCTTGTCGTTTCAATGCGTATTCTGCCCAAACACGTTGTGAGTCAACAAATTCCGCTTCCCAAGGCTTTAAAGATATTTTTTCTTTCAAATTTAAATTAAAATAGGACCTGAATGTAGCGATACAAGTTTGGAATAATTTGATCTTCATCATGAGTCATTCCACTTCTGAAATGGGTAACACCACCAGCATCAGTTTGACGCATCCAACGTAAATCTGATTGAGGAATTAACACATGTCCCATAGAAAGCATTCCAAGACCGCCAATTTCTTTAGGAGTATAAAAGACGACAGGAGGGAAACGAGCAGGCATTTTTGAGTTTAGACCAATTTTAATTCTAAAAGTAGAATAAAATATTCTTCACAAAATAAATAAAGAGTTAACCGAGTTTGAATTTTGTTTTCACATTTTACCAAAAGATCCAACAATTCTTGTGTGTTTACAACAGCCTCGCGGTAGTAAGTCATCAAACCAATAAGCGCAGTGTTCCATTTATTAACAATCTTAGTAAAAGTAGTTGAACCAGAAGACATAAGAATTTGTCGAACACGATTATGAAACTTTTCCATCGATTCTGAATCAACTTTTAAAAAAGCTTGGGCAGTTCGTTCTTTTGTAATCTTTAAAGAAAAGGATAAATAAAACTTTTGAATTTGAAAACCTCATTTTGCAAGTTCCAAATTCCGTCTCTATTCGCAGTCACATCATCAGAAGCAGTTCGACATTTTGGAAGAATTCTAGCCTCGAACCCAGACATATCGAATAACAAGTTTGGATTATCCTTGCTGTAAACAGAAACAAATGAATTTTCCCATTCAATAGTTGTAAGAGAACGAGGAAGACGATTCTAGAAACGAAACAAAAAATAATCATAAAATAACTATAAAGAACCTTAATATCCCAAAATACAGCACGACCAAGGTTAACATCATGTTTCATTAAACGCATACGAGCATCTCGAGGCCAGCACTTTTTGTTGTTATATCCAACAATATTTTCATTGTTTGGATCTGGATGTTCAGAAAGGTAACGTTGAATTAAATCTTTTGTCTCATCAGCGTTAAATCGGAAAAAGATCCAAGCTTTGTCAATATAACGGCAATAAAGACGAATTGGGTGGCATGACTGAACAATGACATCTTCGAATGACAAAAATTCGTTTGGACACTAGGAAAATTTAAATGAATTTAATTTTGAAAAAATTATAAAATACTTGTGGTGGTCCAGCAATTTCACTAGCACGACGAAGTCCAAGAATGAGCAGATCCAAAACAAGTCCATAATATTGAACGATAAATGATGCAAATTGTAGACCTCGAATGATTCCTAAAAAATTGATTTAATACTAAAAAGGCATTTTTAATCAAATACCAAAAGAGTTTGTATGGTTCATATCCTTGTAGTTCACTGTAACGTTGTTTTTAGCTGTCATATAATCGGCAATGTTGTGATCAACAATTAAACGGAGCAATCTGTTCAATAATGTCAAGTCCATTTTTTCATACATTTTCTCAAGTCTAGCTTCTAATAAAACATTACATTCTCCTTCATCAGTATCCCAAACATCTTGAAGATTATTAATTCCTTGGCACCATTTATAGACTAATAATGGAGCAGGTTCAGTATCGGCAGGTTTAACCCATGATGGAAATAGTCGTCGTTTATCAGCTTCATACCAAACATATTGATCCAAATAAGCATCTGTGACTTTTTCAAGCGGTTCAATATCGTAGACAGGAATCAAATGGCTGTAGAGATCCATAAATTCAATACCAACTTCTTTAAATGAACGCATCGTTAACATATGACGTTTAATTCTTGAAAGAGCTTCGTGTGGATTATCATAAGCTTGTTCGATTAATGCCAACTCTTCTCTCTGACTTTGATTTAAACGATTCTTGACTGAATATGCTTCTTTTAAACGTTCTAATGCCAAAATAAGAAGTTTTGTGTCGTGTTTGTATGAGAGTGGTGGAAATGGAATTGGTGAAAAACGACGAGATTCAAGCCAGTGAACTGTTGTTGTATAAATTGCAACTGCTTCTTCAGCACTAACATATGGACCGTCTTTCAAATAATTGTGTTGACGTTCTTGTTCAGACTTTAAAAGTATATTTAACACTTTATAAATGTTAAAAATTCTAACCTTCAAATAAAGACGAGTTAATCGTCCCAAATTCTTTTTACAAACAGTTTTATCCACTGTTGCTCCACGACGAACTCTTTCACGATTGTAGTGTGCTGAATTTGTCCACCAATCTGCTTTTGCTTTAACATAACGTAAAATCATGTTTTCAACAGGAGTTGGCAAGCCTGGGACTTTCCAAGGAATATTTGCTTTCCAACAACGCCAAGCTTCACTCAAATGTTGCAATATTACTCGAGCTTTATTCTGTTTGATTCCTTCAGGCATCATGTCCAAAATATCGTGCATAACAGCAGCTCTAAAAAATAAAAATATTTTTCTTCGTAAAATTATAAAAGAACCTCAATTCAAGATCAAAGTGTGACTCAACACGTTGTTTTGTAACAGTCTTTGCAACACCTTTAGAATGTCTCCCTTCGAATTGACGTGATAGCAAGTTGCCTAACCAACGTTCTAAAAGTGGAGTGATTCCTCTTAAGAAAAAAAGCCATACTCTCCAGCCTGGAGCCCAAAATCCACAGCCTGGTCCTTTGCCTAAATTTTGTAATTTTGTTTTTAAAGTTAAAAAAAGTAAACTAACCGACAGGCCCAGTATTGAATCGATAATAAATCAAATGTTTCAAATCTTTGCACATACGAACTTGTCTCATCAATTTATATTTATAACGATACATTCCAGTTAGTTGACCAACATGAGCAAAAATATACTGAAGTCCATCAGAAAGTTGATAAGCATCCACATTATTTAACCTGTATTGTACGTGTGCATCTACAACAAGTTTTGCCAAACGTAAAACTTCACGACACAAGTGAAAAGCATTTCCGAAACGAGACTTTTTACGTTCTTTAGTTGTCAAGGTTTTTACAGGCTGAAATAATAAAAATTAGAAAAAAGCGACAGAATTTCTAAAAGTGACATTTGATCCCATAAAATTAATTTAAAATAACCTTTAAATTAAAGTTATAATCCAAGTGAAGATAATTCAAATTTTTTCGGTGAATCAAAAGGTTTAACATATTGTAGCCTTGACGAAGAACTTGTAAACCAACTTCAACCCAGTCAAGTGTTGTTGATTGGAAAAATTTTGTAGCTTTGAAAGAACGGAAGAGATAACTTAAAAAATTAAGAAAAATAAATTTAAAAAATAAAGAAACCGTTTTTTCTGTGGCTTTGGTGGACGATGTTTTAAAGCGTTTAGCACAAAAACTTTCAACAACTTTTGATAAGAAACTCGAACTTTGACAGGCATTCCAGCAGGACAATGTTCTTTATACCAAGTTTTAACTAAAGGTACATCAATTATTCGTCGAGTGCCTCCAGAACGCGTATTGAATGGTCTCGGTGCCCAAATTAATGCCATTCCATTTGCTGTATTTTCGGTGTAAAGAGGAAATTCGCTAAACATTGCTGCCATTGCATAAGGTAATTGAAATTCTTCTTCGTCGTCTTCTGGTAAAGGTTCTGGCATCTAGAAAAAATTTTTTTAGAAAATTTATTAAAGACAAGGAAAGTTTCGACATAATAAAGGAATACTACTATACAACAGGGATATCACGGATTATTCGAAACCCGATACAAGGACTTTTTGACCCGACTCTTTCTCAACCTGTTCATGTTATAAACTTCAGAGTTAAAATGTAAAAAATAAATATAATCTGACCAAAAATCAATAAAATTAGGATTAATGGCCCGCCTATATTTTCTTTTTATTTTTGCAATTCCAAAGAACAAAAAATTTATATCGTTTAAAATTTTTTGTTAGTTAATGGAATCGCCTTGTTTTTAACCATAAAGATACTTGAAAAATGTTTTACCCGTTCAGTATGTCTCTGTGCAATTGGATTGATAAGCGGATCAAAATAAAAAGCTGGAAGGTCATAATCTTCAGTTTTGATATAAACTACTGACGGAGTGTGATACCAACAAACAGTCACCGGCAATGCACTAATCAAATTGTTGTACATAAAGGGAAACGCAATTCTATATTCTGTACGAATTGGAGAGCGAATAATAACTTTGTTGATGTCGTTGAATTCGTTCCAGTCTTCATCACTAGAAAATAAGCAAAATTGTCAGACCTAATAAAATTAAAAAACATACTTAAAAGTCATATCTCTTATTAAAGGCTCAAATTTAGGTCCTCCAGGAATTGCAACATTCAAAGCCTTTGCAGTAAAAAAAGATTTTAAGTCAAACAAATAAAAATAATTTTCATCCAGAAGATCAGTCAAAAGTTGATTTGCAAGACGATAAAGTGTAGACATCATTGGAATTGTAAAAGTCCATTTTCGATAAGATTCTCCGTTGACAAATCTTTAAAAGAATTTTTTTTATAAATTTAAGTAGGGTTTGATCGTCAATGTGAAAGTGAATTCCCTTCACGGGGAAGCTCGTGGGGCACCTAACAGGATAAGAATTTCCCTGAACCGTGTTCTTCGTATGATCGGCCGATTTTCCGTAATATCTAACCCAAATCAAAGTCCAAGAATCTTCAGAAAAATCTACCTTGTTTTAGCCAAAGGTTTATGATCATATAGCCAATCCTTCACCAATCCTTCTTCTTCTTCAGTCAATTCCATTTGAATCGGCTCCAAAGGTTCAACATCCAAAATGTTGTCCGCATAATCAAGAGGTGGTTCTTCATCGTCAAATGGTGGAAAACGCATTCGCTTGAAAATTAGGAAAATTACGACATTAAAAAAATAAAGAAACCTTAAAATGTCGTCGATCACGTTTTTCTCTTCGCATCATTATCCACATAGTTCCCCATTGTGCAATAAACACAGGTTCAATAACACGAGGAATTTCATTGACAAAAGTTATTGCACCAGTAATATGATACAAAACCTTGATGTCACGTATTTGCTCCCATGGCATTGGCATATTTTCGATGAGTTTTATAACAGCATGAGGCATATATTTCAACGCTCCAAGGTAAACACGTTTGTCATGGCGGTATTTGCGGGAAGTCATGTCGCCGTGATCTCGAACAATTTTGCGAACATGTTCTAAGAAAGGATGTATTTAAAAATGCATCAAAAAAGCACAGGAATGTAGTAAAAAAGAGAAGTAAAGGCTTATCTCCGAGCAGGCATTGATCCCAGATCCAAAGCCTCTGCTTTCAATCGTACCTCAGTGATGATTTCACTCTAGTACTAGATCCTAACCCTCAACTTAGTAAACACCAGCCCGGGATCTTCATTAGCTTTAACAAAGTTTTAGTCGTAAAATGAAAGCCCAAAAAATCAGGGGCATACCCAAAACTAATTAAAACAAACCTGGAGGCATTTCCTCTTTTTGCGAGTCGACAAATCCGAATTTGCGCTTTTCTGCAAAACGTTTCGATTGTAATTGTTTCCATTTCTTTGATTTGTCTGTCAATGCCCTCTCTTCTTGCTGTGACAAAATTTGTGTTTTTGCATCATACGAAGGTGCTGAAGAAACACCTGGTCTTCCCATAAAAGAAACTGGAACCGGTGCGGACATTTTTTATTAGAATTGAAAAATAACTTATAAAAACATTAAAGGTTAAAAACACAAATGAGAAAAACTTAAAAAATAAAGGTAAATTAGTCAAGAAAAACAAACTCGAAATATCTTGTCTGCCGTATCACTTCTTTGTTACACTCTCTCGACATAAATCTCTTAACTTGCCACTAAAGGTAAAAATATCAACTTGTCATAACGACATTATACAATAACGACATTCTGCCAGCAGACAACTAGTCAAAAAGGGCGAAAACATATTATGCCAATAGCTCTATGCCAGTGACTGCTCGAATGGGCATTTGAACGGCAGTTGAGTCCCGATCCTATAACTCATGAGAGGATGATTACTTCTAAATGTTTTTGGTATCGCTGGACAGAGAATCAAGAGCACTAAACATACCAAAAAATCAAAAGTTTCAACCGATTGATAAAAAATACCCATTTCTAATCCTTTTTATTTAAATAAAAACAAATATTAATTAAATAAGAGTTGAGTGATAATTAATTAAAATTAAGTAATTAAAAAATAAATAAAATTAAATTCCTGAAAGGTTTTTATTTTTTGTTCTTTTTTTTTCATTAAACATTTTTATATTTAATACCTATTATTATGAGGGACTTTCGATTTATATATATTAAGATTTATATCCATAACAATCTTTATAATAATCTTCAGTTATTCCTTCAAAATAATCTCCATAAATTCCATCATTATCAACAAATTTTGTAAATTTAGAAGTCAATTCTGGATAAGTATCCTTAACATCTTTCCATTCTTTAGAATCAAAAAAATTTTGTTTGTTTATTAAACAATAATCTTTACATGCCTATAAAAATTAATTTAAAATTTCTTAAATTTATAAAAAAATATTTTTTTACAATCTCCAAAGTAGTAGCACCATATAAAGAAATAATTCCACAATATTTCAAAAATGTTTTGGCATCTAAAATAAAAAATAATTTTTAAAAATCTATGAATGTAATAAATCTAGTTCTTACCACCCCACAAGGGCGTATCCAGGGGGGGCTGGGGGGGGGGGGCTAGAGCCCCCCCCCCCCCCCCCCCCCGAAATGGGGGAAAGGGAGAAAAAATTAGGAGAAGGATGGTCGAAAAAGTGAAATTTTTTCGCCTACAACCCTCAAATTTTAAAAAATTTTCGCCTGCGGCGCAAAAAATGGAAAAAATCTGGCTTCTTGAGCTCCAAAATCCTCAAAATTTTCGCCTGCGGCGCTAAAAAGTGAACTTTTTTTGCCTACGGCCTTCTAAAATTAAAAAAATTTTCTCCTGCGGCGCTGAAGTGATGAAAATTTATGTACAAAAAAATTTGCGTACGGAACGCCAAGGTAAACGCCAAAAATTTTTGCGCCCACCCAGTGTTAGCCCCCCCCCCCCCGAAACCGCCCCCCTGGATACGCCCTTGCCACCCCAGTCCTTTTCAAAAAAAATTTTTTTTAAATCTCAACAAACCTAATAAATTTGCCATACAACATTCACATTCATATTGCAACGTTTCCACCTGATATTTATGTGCAAGAGCAAAAATACCTTCAACATTATTTTCCAATTCATCTTAAAATAAAAATAAAAAATTAATTTTTACAAATAAACTTTTATTAATTTTTCCACAATAAAAATATTCTAACAATGCTCGAAAACATTCTGGAGTAGTATCAGAGATTGTGACTTCACCCTTTAAAAAAAAATTAAAAATATACAAATCCTCTTTTAAATTAAAATTTTTTTAATTATCGTTTTCACTCAAATCCCTTTTGAACAAAATTTTAAAAAAATTTACAGTTTTCGCTTCAACCATGGCAACATCTTCTCCAAACATTTTTTTAAAGACATCACTGCTTTGAGCCAAAACACAACGATGTGCTTTTATAACTTCATCGCCAACCTTTAATAAAAAACAAAAGCTGCTTTCCGATTATCGACTTGCAGTTTCCCTTTTTTTCAATATGAAGCGAGATTTAAAAAGCATTTCTCATATTATTAATTTAACCCCTATTCAATACGCGCCATTGGCAATTTGTAAATTTTAGTAGAAAGGAGAAGGAAAAAATAAAGGGAGATAACGGAATAGGACCAAACAAACCTTAAAAATACAATCAGCATATGTTTTATCGTATAACATCATTTCATATTTATTTTGTAGAATTTCAGATGTGTTCAAATAAACAAGTTTAACTTCGCAATAAAGATGTATTGATCCTTGAAAATTAAAAAATTGAAAAAAATTTATTAAAAAAATTCGGACGAGAATAGTCAAAAAATTTTGATTCTTAACACAAAAATAGGGCCTTAATTTTGATTTTTTAAGAATAGAATAAACAATTAATTTATCTTTAAAAAATAACCTTCAATTATCTTTGAAACATCTGCACCTTGTTCTTTAGGAATAATTATATCCTTTAATAAAACTTTAGAATATCCCAATTTTTGCTGGTCCTTTAATTTATTTGTCGATCTGAAAATGGTTAAAACATATTTTTCGATTCTTTTTAGTCAAGCTAACAAAATCGGGTATTAGTAAGAGGTGCGGCCCACTATGACGTAAGCTCACTATGGCGCGAGGCTTTAAGACGCAAAACTAAAACTAAATTCCGAAAATTTACTTAAATGAAAACAAAAATATAAGTATGCCCGTCTTCTTGTTCAGCGGCAAAAACTTTTTCCGTGTAGGCCAATAGGTCAAAAAGAAATATATAGAAATCCATATACATCCCTAGTCATAACCAGAATATAAAAAAATAATTTAAATATTTTAAAAACCTTGAAATAAGCATATAATCAATAGACTCACTCATTGGAACATTGATATTATGGGGAGAATTTGGAAGATGCCCATTTTTATTTTTGATAGCATAAATTTTATATTTTGTATTTACAAGGCCATTTGTGGCACAAGGGCCTACTTGTCGAAGCCAAATACTAACAGTATTATCAATATTCTCACGTTTGTCAATTTCAAGAACTAATTCCCATCCCACTTCAGGGAATCGTCGAATAGAAATTTGATTACCTACAAAACACTATTTTTTATTTAAAAAAATTTAAAATACTTTTTAAATGTGTTTGTGTACAAAGTTCAACAGCTTCATAAATATCTTTAAGTCTGGCCACTCTCCAATGAAAGTTGCACGATATAACCCGCATCGATAATAATGTGGTTTAAATCCAATATTTTTTTTTCTTTTCCATCAACAAAAATTTGTGAAAACAATCCATTTTTAATGGAATATAAGTTTTGAGAGAAAAATATTGGATACAAACCAAACTATATTTAAATTAGATTTAGTATATTTGTTTTTTTTAATTCAACAAAATTCTTATTTAATTAAGCGAAAACTTACAAAAAGCGAAAACTTACTGGATTAAAATAATTTGTCATATATTTAGATCCACCTTTATAATAGTAAGTTTCAGAAAGCAAAGGTTTTTTCATTCTAGATGTTAATAAAAAAATTTGGTAATAGTGTCGTTTCCCGGCCCCATTTTTTCTCCCCAATTTTTTACCCTATGTTTGTACGGAATGGTCAAATTTTCCCCTTTCTTTTATCAAATTTGCCTTTCCATATTTTGCCTAAAAACAATCTAAAAGATTAATTTTTTATTCATCATCATCACTCAAACGTAATTTTTCATGTAAATCAATAGGTTTGAAATTCTTTAGTTCTTCCATTTTTATTAATTGGGAAAATGATTCTTATCATTACTCTAATACTTTTTTAAATATCACAAATTAATCTTTTTGATTGTTTTTAGGCAAAATATGGAAAGGCAAATTTGATGAAAGAAAGGGGAAAATTTGACCATTCCGTACAAACATAGGGTAGAAAATTGGGGAGAAAAAATGGGGCCGGGAAACGACACTATTACCAAAAATTTTTTTAATATGGTTGTAGTCGATTGTGTAGTAAAAAGAAGTCGTTCGCGAATAAAAGTAGTTATTCGCCGCAAATCGACGAAAAAGTCGATTTGCAGTTCACTAGTCGAGGTCATTCACCTAAATTCATTCGATTGTATGTTGAAGATAATAATAGAGATGTGCGGACAGAGACTAATTTAAAACGTAAAATGTAAGAAAAATTGGGGTGTGATGTTTTGTGGGTTGGGCGAGATTTACGTTTTGTCGATATTTTTAAAAATACATATAGGTATGTATGTCGGCGGAAAAATTCAGATTAGGAGAAATTCAATTTTTCCAGAAAATTTGAAATTTTCCTAAATCTGAATTTTAAATTTTAAAAAATAATTTACAATCTTTTTATTTTAAATAAATTAACAAATATTAGAATAATTAAATAAAAATTAAGTGATAATTAATTAAAATTAAGTGATTAAAAAAATAAAAAGAAAATAATTAGTTAAAATTAAATTCATAAAAGGCATTTAATTTTGTTTTTTTCCTTCATCAATCATTTTTTTTATAATAATTCATTAATTATACCACCTATCATCAGGCATTTTCATAACATTTACAACTGTTCCATCCCTATTTTCACACTTGACATATTTATAACTTTCATAATCATCTCCATAAATTCCATCATTATCAACAAATTTTGTAAATTTAGAAGCCAATTCTGGATAAGTATCTTTAACATCTTTCCATTCTTTAGAATCAAAAAAAGTTTCTTTGTTTATTAAACAATAATCTTTACATGCCTATAAAAATTAATTTAAAATTTCTTAAATTTATAAAAAAATATTTTTTACAATCTCCAACGTTCTAGCACCATAAAAAGAAATAATTCCACAATATTTTAAAAATGTTTCGGCTTCTCAAATAAAAAAAATATAATTTTTTTTAAATTTTTAAAAAAATCTATGAATGTAATAAATCTAGTTCTTACCACCCCAGTCCTTTTCAAAAAAAAATTTAAAAAAATTAAAACAAACTTAGCAAACTTGCCATATAACGTTCACATTCATATTGCAACGTTTCCACCTGATATTTGTGTGCAAGAGAAAAAAGATCTTCAACATATTTTTTAAATGTATCTTAAAAAAAGATTTAAATTAAAAAAAAAACTAATTTTTAAAATAAACATTTAAAAATTTTGGCAGTATAAAGATACGATAAAAATTGTCGAAAACATTCTGGAGTAGCATCAGTGATTGTCACTTCACCCTAAATTTTTTTCAAAAATTAAAAATAAAGAATTTAAAAAAATAGTACAGTTGTCGCTTCAATCATACCAGTATCTCCAAACATTTTTTTAAATACTTCACTGCTTTGAACCAAAACACAACGATGTGCTTTTATAGTTTTATCGCCAATCTTTAATAAAAAAATTAATTTTAATAGAAAAACCAAATGGTGATATTCGATTGTCTCCGCACAATTTTTCTTTCCCTCTTTTTCTCCTTTTTAATAAAAATTACAAATAGTAAAAAAATTTCATCTGTTTTTTAAATTTAAGCCTTTAAAAAGCTTAGGTAAAATTGAAGTTTGTCTACCCCCTCCTTATTCTTTCCCCAAATGTGGTGCTTTTCTTCTCATTATGACCATTTTTAATAATCTGAGGAAGGAAGGGGGGGGGGGGGGGGGTATTTACTTCAATTTTACCAAAACTTCTTTTCAAAGAGACTTCCGCCTTTAAAGGACTTTCTGTTTTATATTGCCTAATTTAACCTTTGACCATTACGCACCATTGACAATTTGGCGCGTAATTGGCAAGTTTTTTATAAAAGGAGAGGAAAAGTAAAATTCTGCAAGATAATTGAATAGTACAAAACAAACCTTAAAAACACAGTCAGTAAATTTATTATTATAAAACATCGAAGCATATTTTTTTTGTAGAATTTCCAATGAATCCAAATAAACAAGTTTAACCTCACAATAAAGTTGTAATCCTAAATTTTTTAAAGAAAATTGTGATAAATCTAAAAATCTCGAAAATAAAAAATCTCAATTCGTTATTTAAAAATTCGAACAACTGTGAATAGACAAGAATTTTGATCTTTCTGTTTATATAAAAACTATTTTGATTTTTTATAAAATGGAGTAAACAATGAATTGAGATTTAATTCAAATTAATAAAACAAATTTATCTTTAAAAAACCTTCCAAAAGCTTAAAATTAGGAAACCATGCCCCTGCTTTAGAAAGTACGTCATCCAACAAAACTTGAACATATCCTATTTGTTGTTGATCTTCCAATTTATTCTTTGATCTAAAAAATATTTACAGTTAACATATTTTTAGAGTCTTTTTAAGGATGTCAACAAAATCCGCAATATTTATCCGCCGAAATGAGGGAAAATGGAAAAATGAAAAGATGATAAAAAACGTGATTTTTTACCAAAATTTTCACATGTGGCGCTAAAAAGCTGGCATCCTGTCCTTACAAAATTCCGCCTGATGCACAGAAAATAGAATGTACATAAGAGAACTTATCGGAACGCTAAAATTTTAGCGCCCACCCAGCTAAATAACTGAAATCCAATCTGTGCCAGTGACCTCCGGATATTATTTACACCCCCTGACAGGCCTGCTTTATGTCAGAAAAATATTTAAAAAATTTTAAAAACCTTGAAATAATCGTAAAGTTGTTATCTTTAATAACATAAATTTTATATTTTGTATTTGTAACATAATTTTTAGCAAAAGGGTTACGACAATTAAAATCATCTATAGCACAAGGGCCTACTTGTCGAAGCCATATATTAACAGTTTCTTTCTCTTCATAATTTTTAATTTTGTGAATTTCAATAACTAATTCCCATGCCACTTCATGGAAACCTGGAAATCGACTGCCTGCAAAAAAAAAAACTTTTATTTAAAAAATTAAATAAAATACTTATTAATTGTGTTTTTATACCAGGTTGAACAGCTTCATAAATTTGTCTAAGATTGACCACTTTCCATTCAAATTTGCATTTTATTAATCTCATCGACAATAATTTGGTTTATATCCAATATTTTTTCCTTCTCTATATTTTTTTCTATTAATCCAAAAAGGGTTCGTGTTTTTGTACAAAAATAGGTACTTGTGTAGTTTACCTCCCATAAGTCCCGTCCTTTTTCTTTCCGAAAGCAGTAAAATGCCAGAAATCAATAAAATTGAGGGTATCGACCCAAACGCTCTTTTAAAAGAAAAAGAAGAGAAGAAAACGTGGCGGGACTCATGGGGGGTAAACTACACAAGTACCCAAAAATGTGTAAAAACAATTCATCTCTTAAAAATGTTACAAATTTTTACATTTACTTTGAGCGACAAAGATTTTTATTTATAAATTTTGAGAAAAAAATATTGGACAAAAACCAAACTGTTTTAATTAAATTTAGTATATTTTGATTTTTTTTAATTAAAAGAAAATTCATAATTCTAGCTTACTGATTCACAACGATTTCTAAATGGATCATTTGTAATATATTTCCATAAATATTTGTACTTTTTCTCTTTCGCAGTATTAAAAGTATCCGAAGTATACAACTTATTCATTTTGGAAATGTTTATCCATTTTTTATCCATTTTGGAACTTATCCCTTTTGGATTATCCATTTTGGAACTTTTCTTTTCTTTAAAACGTAAAATTGAAGAGAAACAAAAAATCACAAAAAAAAACAAATTTTCTAAGTCGAAAATTCACATACTCTGAATACCCCTCCTCACTCTGAAACAGATATTATGAAACGGCCTACTTTAAATTATCGCTACCCTGAAAGGTCCCCAAATTCTATGTTGAAGATATTTATTTCAAATATTTTATTCTTTTAAATATTTAAATCATTTTTCATCAACAAACGAATATATTTTAAATAAAATATCAATTAACGTCCTCCAAGAAGTCCAAAAACCGTCGGCCATGTTCGAATCTCTGCCCAAAAATCATTGTCCACTTTCTCCGGATGTTCTTCAATGAAACGTCTACATGCCTGAAATTAAAGACATTAAACAAAAATTATAATTTATAAAAATACATCTAAAATAATTGGAAATTCAATTGCATCCAAATCAATCGTATCCAAAACTCTACAAAGTTCAATAATAACACCAGTATTAGCTATAAAAATAATTTAAAAAAATTTTAAACCAGAATTTTCTTACCGATTTTACTTGCCAGATAACTTTCTGCGTTATTCCGTAAATTTTCGATAACAAATTCATCAGCCAACATTAATATCTCCCAACAATATCGGTCCCAGAGATCTAAAAAAGTTTAAATGTTAAATAAATGTTTTGAAACCAATTTCAATGTGACCACAATATAAATACAAAAGAAAACATCTGACAGCTTGCGGCGAAGAATTAGATATACGCATATGATTCTAAAAAATTTTTTTAACACAGAAGTATTTTGTCCCCCCCCCCCCCTTCACCTATCAAAATTTATATTAAAAATACTTGTGTTGGTTCACGCCTAAATTTCCCTCGAAATATATCATAGCATGACAAGATATTTTTGTGGACGTTAATTACTTCAACTTCATTCTCTGTCTCACCAATTACCTTTAAAAAAATTTTTTTATATAAAACTAAAATATAAATAGACGTGTATCTTATAATCAGAATAACGTTCTTGTTCAAACAATTCCTTGTATTTCTTCTGTATGTCAGCGTTCAAATTAAAAGTCACAATTTTAACAAAACATCCCAAGTGTAAAGCTGAAAAGGGTAAACATTTTTTAAAATTTTCAAAATTATAGAAATTGGGAAAGTTATTTTATATGTCAAGGACTTTTTGGTACCAGTTTTTTTAGAATTTGATCAGATTTTGTGAGACCTATATACGTTAATATTTTTAAGATTTTAGCGAAAATTATATAATTAAATTTAAGCAGATTTGAACACCTAATTAGATCTGTATGTTCAAATCTTGGCAAGACGTCACGCCCAGAACCGGGTTGGGCCGACGTCTTGATGGAAGATATTCCATATAGATGGGTCAAAACTCACAAAACACATCTTATTGTTAGTAAAACACATCCCTTCAAGCTAATATGAAAGTTCGAAGCTTTCATTATAGGACATGAAAAAACACAAAAGATAAATGCTTACATCCATCATTAGCCAATAATCCTCCAAATTCCAATACTTTGAGCCCCAACTTTTCCTCGTCCTCAAGAGAGTAGTCTGACCTTAAAAGAAAAATTTAACCATTCTGAAATTTTTTAAAATCATACTTTGAAATTAAAACTCGTTCAGCATCGTTACCATAGCCTTTAACGGCAACAATTTCATAATCAACATGCGTATATTTGTTTAACGCAATCTTGTTGAGCCAAATTTTAACCTTCCCGTTGTCTTCCGGTTCAACACAAAGCGAAAATTTCAAATCATGGAAATCCCATTTTTCTAAAAAAAACTTTTGGTAAGAGTAACGCTCATAAAACCGAATAGTTTTCTAATATAATTAAATGTACAGTCCAAACTCACTATATAGGTGCCAAAAATGGTTAACTTTGCCTTCTCATTAAACTTAAAAAAATAATTTCCCTGAGCGGGGTCGAACCCATGACCTTATTCGCCTAGTAACTTTATAGATACAGAATCATATAAAGCATTAAACATTGGAAATGGAACATGTCCAGATGATTATAGTAATTTTTGGACTACATCTCATTACATAAGAAAATTTATTTCTTCGGTTCATGAGCGATTTTTTTTAAATTACTTGATAATATAACTCCATATGCAACAACATTCCGATGGACCGAAGCAAAATTGTCAATAATTAAATTCGCTTCAGTTCTTAAAGGTTCTAAAGGAACCAATTCTTGAGCAAACATTCTTTAGATTATTTTGATTGATAAAAAATCCAAAACAAGATATCCCAAAAGTTTTTTTGTTTTTTAGACAAATTGCAGTCAGCACTAAAAAAATAAGTTAAAAAAATTTTCCAAATATTATCCTAATTTTAATCTCCATGGAGATTTAATGAGTGATAAAAAAAATTAGAAATTCGTAAAACATAAAATGAATCTTCAACTCTTCTAGAATTTACTTTAAAAATCTTAATCAAACAAAACTGAGATACACTAGTTAGAGAGTGTGTGAATTGTCGAGTAGAGACATTTTGTAAACAAAAAAACATTACAACATTTTGGCACAAAACAGTGGAAATTTGAATTTAACATTGTCTCTCACTTACAGGGCTAGGGTGGAATCGGTCTATTAGAGTCTCATCATTGGGGGGTTTGTGAAGTATCCGTAATTTACTTTTGATATTTGCTTATTTTCCCTATATCCTAAGCTTTTCTACATCTTAATTTTATAGAAATTCTTTTTTTAGAAGCTGGAATACCTTCGGAAAATGCAACAACTGTTAAGCCTGAACCAAAAGTTTATTTTTCAAAAATCATTTAATAGCCATATTAATTTACTTTTCTTTTCAGACTCTTCAATATGAACTTCTCCATAATGTTGGACGTTCTGCTGGTTCAGATTCAGTAATTCGACAATGGGATATTTTGGCAAAACAAGGTTTAAATGATCCATTTCTTCGTTGTTTAGAACATCATTGTGATTGGGTTAATGATATTGTTCTTTGTAGTGGTGGAAGTAGACGTTGGTTTTTTATTTTTAAATTAAGACCTAGATTTTCTTTTTAGTAATTTCTGCATCCTCCGACACAACAGTAAAAGTTTGGGAAAAAAGTAAAAAAGGGAACTCGTCTTTCAACGTTAAAAACACACAAGGATTGTGTTCGTTGTTTGGCCTATTCTCGTGAACCTTCAGAGACTGTTGCTAGCGATGTGTTTATTGTGGATAAATGGTTTTAACACTTACTAAAGTGGCAATAACATTGTTAGTCTTGCTATGTTTATGAGGTTTTATAATTTTTTAATTTAGTCCCTTAATTCCTTTAAAATTCTCTCAGAAATTCTTTCCCAAAAATTTTCTCATGAAACCAAAATCTGCGCGCAATAATTTATGTTTCTAAAACTTTATTCTCATTATTTCACGCAGTCTTTTCCCTCTCATTTTCATAAATTTTATTTTTAAAAATTCCTAAAGTTCAAAAAGGAGAATGACCATGACCACCACAACAACCCCCATCTTTTCTTTCGTCCTCCTCTTTTTCTAAATCCTTTTGTCATTTTTACATAATTCTGTTTGGTCATTACCCGCTGATTCCTCAAAAATTTCCAAGAAATTTTCCTCGTTAAAAATTGACGAGAACAATTGTTGCCTTTCAAAATATAATTTTTGCGCAACTTTTCTTTTTCCCAACAGCTGCTAGAGTGCGTCATAATTTAAAAAAAACTTTTTGTTGTTTTCATTTGGATTGTTTGGGTGTATTTTGAGGGGAAGGGTAGATTATCCCATTTTCTTCCTTCATTTGGAAACTTCAAAATTCTTTTCTTTTCCTAAAAATTATTACAAACTTCCTCAAAATCTGTGGCTTCTTCGACGTCTAAATTTCTTTAAAATTCTTGATAAAAGCGCTGGAAAGTTAATTTACCGTGCCTTCGACACCTTAGGGTTTTAAAATCTTAAACTCCTCTAATTTTATTCAAATTTATTTTTTATATAACGAAAATAATAGGAAAAAGTTTTAAAAACAAAAAAAAGGAAATTAAATTGCACGTGCCAACTAATTTAAGGACAAAAAATACTAAAATAAGCGCCCTTGACCACACTTTTTTCTTTAATTTATTTTTGGCAACACACACATTTTGGATAAAGTAGGGTCACCAACAAGTAGAAATCTATCCCCTAAAGGAAATAAAAATGAAGCTCATTTCCACTCTTAATTAATTTTGGCACTCTTAAAAAGACCAAAATTCTATTAAAGTCCTCCACCCTTTGACCAGTTCAATTTAAAACTTGTCCACTTACTTTTCTACCATTTCTTCCTCCCTCCACCTTTTTTGCTTAAACCCCATTTCCGTCACTCATTTTGGTCATCATTTTCGTTTCCCTTCTCTTTTACAATCTTCAACGGGGGTTGCTGCTACTCCCGCCCAAAACTGGACATTTTGTCCCATTTTTCTCTTCTTGACATTTTTAACTCCTTTTTTCTTCTTTCCTCTATTTCCCCGCCCATTTAGCGCCTTTCTGGGCAAACAAAATAAAAAAAAGTATTTTTCTCCCACACGCATTCTTTGTTGTTTTTTATTCACAAAAAATTTTTCGCGCCGCTTAATTAGCGGCGCATCTCCCCTCCTCCCTTAACCTTTTTTAAATCCTTTTTAGAAATCCTTTTTTAGAGGAGAAAAGACTCCACCCTTTCTCTAAACTTATTTTTATTTATTTTTTCTTTAAAGAAAATTTTTTTAGTAATAATAATCTTGGGGGCATTAAGAAATCCTTTTTTAAAAGCATTTAAAATGAAAAAACAAAAAAATTTCTTTTCAAGTGTTTATTTCCTGCTCAGAGTTTGTTTTTTATTTTCAGAAAATGGCAAAAATTTCGTCGTCCTTTTTTACACTCTTTTATTATTTTTTATTCAATTTTGTTCCAATCTGGACTGCTTATTTCTCTCAATTTTCTTCTCTTCGACAACCAGATAGAGATCCTTGTTATGATTCTGCTGGAAGACCTGTTAGATGTGTTCCAGATTTTATCAATGCTGGTAAACTTTCCAAAGATTTTTTATTAATTTTTTAAATTTTTTAGCTTTTGGAAAGCCGATTGTCGCTTCTAGCACTTGTGGAACTAATGGAAAACCTTCGAGGTAATTTTAAAAATTTAAATAGGGGTTTTTAATTTTTGGACATTTTGAGTCTTTTTTGGAGTTTTTTGTTATTTTTAAAATTTTTTTAACTTTTCTCTGGACCCAAAAAATCCGTGCCAACCTCTCCCCAATTTTTCTGTTCTCCAATTTGTCTCACAAAACATTTTTCCGTTCAGATAATTTATCTTCTTCAAATCACCCATTTATTTTGATTTTTATTTGATTTTTCTTGTTTTCCCCTTTTTCTTTTTTTTCTTTTATTTTCCCCCTTTCAATGTGGCCTTTCGGATTAAGTGGATTTTTTGTATAATGATTTATTTGTTTATTACTTGTTTGGCTTTTTTTTTAATATTTTTTCCTTCTTTTCTTCCTCCCCAAGAATCTCTTCCCTTCCCTTTCAAGAATCACCAAAGAACCGGTCATAAAATTTATTTCTATCCTTACAAGATCAGAAACATTAAAAATAAGGGGAAAAGCATTGTAATTACTCTGGGATGTGCGTAATAATTTTTAAGTGGAAAATTTGAGTTGGAAAATTTGAAAAAAAAGTGAATAGTGCACATCTTTACTAGGAAGTTGCGCACCGTGAAAAATTCTTTTTATTATTTTTTCCTTGTTAAATGGAAGCCACTTTTTTATTTTTGCTAATTTGGCGTCCGTTTAACTCCATACAATTTTATGCAAGTGGAAAAACGCACAAAAATAAATAAATAAAAAAACTTGAAAAGTACGTTGAAGAGAAGGGAAATGTTTTTGTGTGTTTTTACCCGTAAGCTTTTCTAAAAATAAATTTTCTGATTAAAATAAATGGAAAAGTTTTAAAAGTCGATAAAGATTGAAGTTAAATGGATGGGGAAAAAAGGAATAGAAAATTAAATTTTAAAATTTAATTGAATTATTACTCCAGAAAGTGATCGAACCATCATCATCTTCGGGATGTAAAAAATTTTTTTAAAAGAGTGAAAAAAATTTTTTTGGAGTTTTTTAGGAGTTAAAATTTTTTTAAGAGTTTAAGAATTTTTTTTTTAGTTTTTGAAAATTTTTTTAAAAAGTCTGAAAAATTTTTTTAGGAAAAAATTTCAATCATTTTTTTATTTTGAAAATAATTTTATTTTTATTTATTTTCATTCTTTTATTTGTTTATTTCCTCAATTTGTCAAAATAAGTTTTTTCTTCTTCCTCTTGTTCGGCTTTTTCTTTTTAATCTTACCTCTTTTTTACTAATCCTTTAAAAATTTTTAAAGAAATTTTAATTTTTGGCATATAAACAAAGGGAAATTTTAATTAAAAACAAAAGAATCAAAAATAAATTTTGAACACCTCTCTTAAAAAAATTTTTTCAATCTCAAATTTCCACAGATTTTGCCTCTTGGAAGAATCACAAGATGGAACAATGCGGGAACGTTGCGAGATTTGTGATGCTGAAGATTTAACCTTAGCACATCCAGCTCAATTACTGACAGATTTGAATAATCCAGATAATTTGACTTGTTGGGTTAGTGAACCAACAACAACAACAACAACAAATATTTCCCCTTTGAATGTGACACTTACTCTAAATCTTGGAAAGAAATTTGAGGTTTTTTATTTTATTATTTTGTTTTTAATTTTATGAGGGTTAATTAGGAGGGGGATTTATTTTTTAATTTTAAGAGATAATAGGAGAGGAGGGAATTTTTTAGAGAATAATTAAAAGAAAAAGGCAAGACTTTTTTTAATTTTTTTTCAGATAACCTACGTTTCTCTTCATTTTTGTGGACGTATAGCTGATTCCTTGGCTATTTACAAATAAGTTTTTTTTGAATTAAAAAATATTTTTGGAAAAATATTTTTTAAATATAAAATATTTTTTTTCTTCAAGTCCAACAATCGTGGACGTACTTGGATTCCAATGCAATTTTACTCGTCCCAATGTGAAAATATTTATAAAAGACCAAAAGATGCTAAAATTACTCGTGAAAATGAACAGGTTATTTTACTTTAATTTTAAGAGGAGAAAATATTTTTGGTAGGAGAGAATTTTTGGTAATTATGTCCAAAAATAATCTAGCCTTATTTTAGACCTGAGAAAATTTAAAATAAAATTTTTACTGAAAAATAAATTTATTAGACTTTTAATAATTTAAGGAAGCAAGATGTACAGATGCTCGTTCCCTCTCACCTTTATCAAATCGAATAGCTTTTGCTACTTTAGAAGGAAGACCTTCAGCATTGGAATTTGAACAATCACCGGTTTTTCAAAATTTTTTTGAAAAAATTTTTACTCGTGAAAATTACTCGTGAAAATGAAAAAATTTCTTCAAAAATTTTGAAAATTTTCAAAAATTTTTTTTCTAAAGGTTCTCCAAGATTGGGTAACCGCAACAGATATAAAAATTGTTTTTAATCGTCTAAGTACTGATCAAAACCAAATGTATTGGTTAGAAGAAAATATTCAACGTTTTAGAAGAGATAATAATAATTCTATTTTTGAAATTGGAGAAGGAAATTTTTTAAATTCAAAATTTGGTGAACAAATATTGAAGGAACGCTATTTTTATGCAATGGCTGAATTGGCAGTAGGAGGACGGTGTAAATGCAATGGGCATGCTAGTCGTTGTGTTATTGACCGTATGGGAAGGTTTGCGAGGGGAAAAATTTTTTTTGAATTTTTTCAAATGAAATTTTTTATTTTGAAAAATTTTTCAGAAATTTCCAAAAAATTTTTTTAAAGGTATGCCTGTGATTGTAAACACGCCACAACAGGGCTAGACTGTGAAAAATGCCGTCCGTTCCATTATGATAGGCCTTGGGCTCGTGCTGGTGCTGATGATGCTAATCCATGCATTGGTATATTTTTTAAAAATAATTTTTAAGTTTGGTCACCCTTTCTTTTTTAAATTTTTTCACATTCCTTCCCCTCTACTTTTTCAATTTTTATCCAATAAACAACTCTAAATAGCTTTAACATTTTTTAAAAATTTTCCCATTAATATATCCCCCTCTTAAATAAATAATTCAACAAATAAAAGCATTGAGAAGGAAAAAAATTTTCTTTTATTTTTTTATAAATTCTTTACATGATCCCTTTTATTCAATCCTATCCTTTTCTTCTCTTTAATCCAACTAATTTTTGGTATTTAAAAAATGCCGGCTTCCTTTTTTTATTTTTTCCCCTCGTTGGCCTTGCAACCCCCATCAACAAAACTACGGTTTTCCACACTTGAAAAATTTTTTTTTCTTTTTCCTCCCATCTGCGCGAGTACGGAAATAGTGGTGATATTTTGTACTGAAGACATTGCGCATCTTCTTTAACACTTGAGAAAGCGAGAAATTATTTTTTTAATTTTAAGGGGGCGGTTCTTTTTAATTTTTTTCTAATGGGGATTTTTAAAAAAACTATTAGAAAGTATCACTTGACACTTAAAAAAATTAATTTTTGTCATTTACCGTTTAGAATTTTTTGTTTTAAAATTGAAATTTTTTTCTAAAAGTTTTCTAACTTCTTTTTATAAGTTTTTGAATTCAAAAATAAAAGGAATGAACGGCGGAAATGAATAATGACTTTTAGTAGAAATGGAAAAAAATAGGGAAGGGGGGGGGGAAGGGATATGACAACAGTAAATGCAAATTACCTCTTTTCTCGAATAATAAAAAATAAAGGGGTGAGGATTTAGTCAAATAAAAAATTTAGAGAATTTAAAAAAAGGGCATCTGGTCATAAAATATTTTTATATAATTTATGACAAGAAATATTTTGAATTAATTTATTGAAACAAAAATTGAATATAGAATTTTTTTTTAATTGAAAAAAATTTTTTTTATAAAAATCTGTTCACCTAAATGACCTAAAAATCTGAAAATCTAAAATTCTCTGTACCGTTTTATGTTAGTGGTCCTTTCTGTTCTTTATTTTTTATTTTTAATAAATCTGTAAAAATATTGCCCATTAATATATTTACTTGTTCCAGAAAAAAAGTTTTTTTTAATGCGCATTCATCCGCCAAAAAATTATTTTTTATAAAAAAATATAATTTTCACACCCAATCAAAAAAAACAAAATTTAATTATCGATAAATATATTTTTGGGACTTTTATTTGTTGAATTATTTGTTTGTGTTATACGCTTTTTTTTGTTCGGTCATTCCCTTCATTTTTCTCTGTGAGGCGTGAATTGAAAAATTGGAAAAAAAAATTAAAAATATAATTGAAAAATAAATAAATAAAATGAGGGAATAGTTAAGGGGGGAAGAATACAAAAAATAAGAAAAAATAAATAATTTTTTATTAAAAAAATGACTGGAAAAAACGAACAAATAAATAAATTTAAAAATTTATTAGAAAAAATTTAAAAAAAGTGTCCATTAGAACAAAAAAATCTTTTAAAAATTTCAGCCTGCAATTGTAATTTACATAGCAGAAAATGTCGTTTCAATGCAGAACTTTACCGTCTTAGTGGTTATCAAAGTGGAGGTGTTTGTCTAAATTGTAGGCATAATACTGCTGGCAGAAATTGTCATGTTTGTTTTTTAATAATTTTTTGGAAATTATTTTTCTGATCTTTTTTGTGCTGGAATTTTTTAAGTTTTTGGGAAATTATGGAAAATTTTTGGGAATTAATTTGTGGACAGGGACAGGAAGCTTGATAATTTAATCTTAAATTTATTTTTTAATTTTTTAGTATTGCAAACTTGGCTACTTTAGAGATCAAAACAAACCAATAACGCATAGGAAAGCTTGCAAACGTAAATTTAAAAAAATCAAAAATTAATAAAAAAAATTCTAGCTTGTTTGTGTCATCCAATAGGCTCTATATCTCGAAATTGCAATCAAGTATTTCTTTAAAATAATTTTTTTTTAATTTTATAAATTTTGTTTTTAGACAAGTGGACAGTGTATTTGCAAACTTGGAGTTGATGGTTATTTTTTAGTTAAAAAATTTTTAAAAAATTTTTGAATAAAAAAATTTCAAGAAAATTTTTGGAAATTTTCTGAAAAATTTTTCAAATAAATTTTTTTAAAGGCCCAACCTGTAATCGTTGTGCTAAAGGCTTTCAACAATCCCAATCACCTGTTACGCCTTGTATTCGTAAGATATTTTCTATTTTATTTTTCAAAAAAAATTTCCTTATAAGGTCCTCCACCAGCAGAAAATGCTCTTTTTGATTCAAAAAATTCCGCAAATAAAGGTTTTTAAAATTATTTTTGTTAAATAATTTAATTAATTTTTTGTAGAAGAATGTGATAAATGTAAAGCGTCTTCTACACGTTTAACACACAAAAGATTTTGCAAAAATGATTATGGTTGGGGAATTTTTGAAAATTTTTTTATAATTTAAGATTTTTGCCACTAGTTAAAAATTTTTAAAAAATTGATAAATCTTTTTCGAAATTTTCCGAAAATATTAAAAAAAAATTTCGGAAAAATTTTTTAAGTTTTGAAAGATTTTTCATATTTTTAAAATCTTTCTTAATTAAAAAATTTCTTTTTCTAGCCTTCCATTTGCAAGTAATTGGCCGTGAATTAATTAATGGATGGGCTAAATACTATATAAAAATAATTTCAATTTTAAAAAATGAAATTAAAAACGAAGACTTTGGAAAAGAAAATAATTTTAATTTAATTGAACCTGGAGAAGAAATGGCTCTTTGGTTATCTGAAAAATTGTTGGAATGTAAATGCCCAAAAATTAAAGTTGGAAGAAAATATTTAATTATGGGTATAATTATTATTTTTAATTTTTTTAATCAAAAAAATTTTGACACCCAAATTTAGTGTTTTTAAGTTAAAAAAGTTTTCAAAAATTTACAAAAAATTTCCTTAAAAAATTTTCAGGAAAAAATTTTGGACCGATTTTTAGGCTTCCTTGCTTTTCAGATTTTCTTACTAGTTTAAGTGAAGAGGATTTTTATTTAGATGGAATTTTTAAAAGACGTGTTTGGCTTAGAAAAACCTTTCTAAAATTTGTTTAATTTTAAAAGTTTGAAAATTTTGTGAAAAATTTTTTTTTTGAAATTTTTCAAAAAAACCATCTTCAATTAAAATTAAATTAATTATTTTATTTCTTCTCACCTAAGAATAATAAGATTTCTCTCATAAATTAATTTAACTTTTCAAAAATAAAATTAGAAAATTAATTTATTTCTTCAAGGTCAATATAAATATTCAACAACACCGACAACTTCTACTGATTTTACAATAAATAACAACGAATATTCATCCAAAAATAAATTAAAAAATTTAATTTTAAATCCAAATCATTCAATATTAATAGATTGGAGTTTGTCTTTAGCTGATAAATTTGAACGTTTTGAACGTCGACATTATAGAGAAAAATGTTTAAAAATCAAAAAGGTGGAAGAGGAGAAGGAAGAAGAAAATAATTTAAATACAACAATTGAAACTTTAATTAATAATGAAGAAAATATAAAAATTGAAAAAATAAAGAAGAAAGGAGGAGTGGAGGAAGAAGAAAATAGAATTTAAAAAAGTTGGAATTTTTAGAGAAAAAAGAATCTTTTTTTCATACTAAAAGAGTAAGAAGAATTTATCCCTCCTTAATCACTCACGTTTGTTTAAAAAATTGTTAGGTTTTTTAAATTTAAAAAACAAGGGGTTGTCGGGTGCACTGTGAATTTCTTAAATATCGACAACCCTTATTTTTAAAATAATCGAAAATCTTTCTGATATGTCATTTCATTTCGCTCCTAAGGGAGGGGGGGGGCTATCATTTTTATGCATTCCTTGTATTTTATATACATATATATTTTTCAAAATATTTTCAAAATATTTAAAGCTTTATATTATCTTTTTGTCCAAACAAATTTTCTTGCCCTACTCTATTTTCTATTTTTTTTTCTTGCTTTAATTTTGTTTTCAAGTCAATTTTTTTCGAAATATTTTTTTTCTATTTTTAATATGGAAAAATAAAATTAAAAGAAAATTTAAAGACCTTACTTATTTTAACAGTAAAATTTGGTTGTAGTTAAGGGAAATTTTTATAATATAAAAACCCAAAAAATTGGAGCTATTTTAAACAACTTTGTCAACTACTCATCAATTAGTCTAAAGGTTCGTTGCTTTTTTTTCTTTTTAAATTTTCTCTTCTATAAACGTTTTCTAAATTTTTTAAATTTTCAGTCGAACCTCCAAACATGAACGGAAGGGTAATCATCGAGCACAACAGTCAGAGTGCGCCTGCTGGAACGCGTGACTTTGCTCATCAAGTCATTGCTGAAGCTGTCGCCAAGTTTTAACTTCTCTTAAATCTTTTTAATATCCTCTTCTCTTTGTGTAGATATGGTTCGATGCACGACTCTCTCAAAGCGATCGCGGAGATTGGCAAATTTGTCCGGGACGCTCTCAACGCCAAACATGGCTGCTGTGACTGGCAATGCAGTGCCAGCTTCTCGCGTACTGGAGTCTGCTCGATCAAGTTGGGAATTTTTTTAAATTTTTTGAGAGGTTAAAAATTTTTTTAATTTTTTCAGTAGCCAAGGCGACAACTACTCACTTCTTGTCCGGGTCGACAACTACAACGTGATCCTCTGGAAGCAGTAGGCGCTCGCTCTAGACGATAGAAGGATGGACAAAGATGATGAATATAGGTGCAATCTAGACGACTTGAGATGTGTAAATAGAAACTTCAAAAAGATATAAATATTTGTTCTGTTTGTATTGTACATCTTTACTTGATTTTCTGTATTCGTTGTTGTATATTTTTCTGTTGTGTTGGTAAATATTTGAATGCTTTTTTTTTGCTGTTTTTAAAAATGATTGTTTTTCAAAATTTTTAAAATTTACTTTAAATATTTTTGGGGTAATACTTTAGTTTAGACACACCCTATTGTTTCTTAATTCTAATTTCCTAATTCTAGTTTCCTAACCATAATTTCTTAGAATTAATTTTTTTAATTTAAAAAATTAAATTTTCAAAAATAAAAAAGAATTGACACCGCCCGGGTTCGAACCGGGGACCTTCAGTGTGTGAGACTGACGTGATAACCACTACACCACGGTGCCCACAGAAATAATTCTTTCAAACACCTTTTATATTTTTAATTATTTGGCCGTCCCCTACCTATAATTATTTTTTCAGCAGAAAAACATATTTTTAAACAGAAATTTCTTCTCAATTGTTTTTTTACTTCAACAAAAATATTTTAAATTATATAATGAGTGATTTGTCTGCTCTTTCAAGGTCAGTCCAAATTTTTAAATTTTTTAAAAATTAAAAAAAAAATTTTTTAGGGGTGTTAATAATGTGTTCCTTCCGTGGAGTTATGCTGCGCTTGGGATTAGTTTGTACTTTTTTATGTAAATTAAATTTTTTTCTCTTTAAATTTCTTAAAAATAATTTTTAGAAATGCAGCTATTTATGCAGTGACAACACTTTTGTTAATAAATAAGGAAAATATTTTGAACAAGGAGAGATGGCTTTTGGGACTGGAGGAGGAATTAATTTCAGAAATTGATGTATCGTCTGTTATATCTATAGAAGCCCCGATACAAGAGGAAGGAATTTTGGTAATATTTTTAAATTAAAAAATATTGTGATAAAAAATGCGGATAAAATTTCCGGACTTAAATCTCTCCAAATTTTTGAACTAAAAATTTTTTTAAAGGTAGATTCCCAATTTCAAATTGATTCAACTCCACCTAGCAATACACCAGACTCGTCTAGTAGCCAGGAAGAAGATTCATAATCTCCAGGAATATAATTATGATTTTTTGAATAGTTAAATGTTAGGAATTTAACTTATTTTATGTTAAATATTTTGAAAAATTATTTTTTTCCATTAAAAAATTTTTAAAAAACAAATAATTTACCAGAAATATTCTTAAATTTTACATTTCAAGTTCATTCCGAACTTTTTCTCCATTTGTATTTGGTTTGATGTTGGTAGGAGGAGGAGCTACAGGGCCTTCTTCTACTTCTGCCATTAATACATCCTCTACTTTAAAAATAAATTTTTAATAAAAATATTTTTTAAAAAAACCAAACCTTGTTCTTTATTTGTTTCGTCTAATTCATCAAGAAGAGCAGCCAAGGTACTTATACTTTCCTTTTTTTCAATTAACTATTGAAAAAATTAATTTGATTTTAATTTAACAAAAAAATTTAAAAAATATACTTTCTGCTCCAAAATCTTTTGTTTAGAATAAGCCTCTTCCAATTCGTCTTGTAAAATTTTTAATTTTTTTGTAGTTTCTGCTCGACTTGGTTTTTCCTTTTTTTAATTTTTTTCTTTAAAAAATAAAATTAAAAAAATAAATACTTTAATCATTTTAGCAATATTATCATATTCTTGTTGATTCTTTTTAACTTGTTTGGCTTCAGCTAATTGTTTTTTGACTTCTTCCATTTTCTCTTGATTTTTATTTAATAGATTGCCTTGAAATAATTTTAATTTTTAAAAAATTATTATTTGACCCAGAAGGGACAAAATAAAATATGAATTAAATCAAAAATAATATTTCGACATTTATTTTCTCAAAAAAAATTTTTTTAGGGTAAAAATAAACAGAATTCGACCAAGCGGACTCGAACTTGCGACCCTTAATATTTCGATTACTTCCTTTTGGGGTAATTTTCCAACGGGGTAACTTCACAACTACACCACAAGGAAATATTAACCCAAAATTAAAACTTAAATTATACCAATCTCTTCATAAAGCTTTTCATAATTTCCCCGTTCAGAATTCATAGCCTGAGCAATTTGTTGTTGCTTTCGAAACGAAAATTCAATTTGATCCAAAAGGATAACAATTTTATTTGTAACACTTTAAAAATAAATTTTAAATTAAAAGAAATAACAAAAAAAACCTTTTAGAATCGCTTGATTTTCCAAGACTATTAATTAACTGAAATAAATGTAAAATTCTTCTATCATCACTAGTACCATCTCCATCAGCAACAAGTTTACGAATAATAGCTTCTTCTGTCATTTATTTGAGTTTAAAAAAAGTTTAGAAATAACTAAAATATTTTTAAAAAATTAAAAAAAAATATTTAAAAAATTTTTTAGGTAAAAATTTAAAAAAATATAATAAATTCTTAACAAGCTTTGTATTTAATATTTATTTTTATATTGAGGGCTATTGTGAAATTAAATCAAAAATAAATAAATATTTTAATAGATCACTGTTTTTCTCTAAATATTACTCTCCCTTTTCTCCTCTCACCAATGCAAAAATTCCAAGTTTTGAATTATCAGAAAATCATTAAAAAAATTTTGAAGGATCTTTAGAGAAACCAAACAAAGATACAATTTATAATATTATTCAAAAAATTAAGAAAATAAAAAAATCATTTTCATTTGTAACAAACATTATTATTTTGAAAATCTGGCACCAACAAAAGTACCTTCTCATAATGTGAAGGCAAATACATTTTCAGCTTACTCGACTTCCCAGTGTTGACAATACGGCCCCACTCATAACCAATTGAAGTTAAGCGAAAAGCAGAAAGTGAAACCGAATCTGGAGCAAAATTACACAAAACAAAAACACGTTGCTCTTGCTGTTGTCCTTGTTGAGATTGATAAACAAAATTTGTATGAAAGAAGCGATCATTACTTGATAATTCTGATGAATTGCCGGAAGCTTTAGTGTGAATCCTTTAGAAAAAATAAAATAAAGATTAAAAAATTTGCAGACAAGTCCGCAAATTTTGATCTGCAAATGTCAAGTACATAAATGTCCAATCGCTAAGGTATCTCCTCCTTCCAGGGATGTCATGGATCGAGAAAAAACAATCATTATTAAATTAGCTGCCTAAGTGATAATGGTAAGTTCACATTTCAGAGTGATGAAAAATTGTTAGGTATTGGGGTGGTATAGATGGGTGGTATAGACTCTAAAAAATAATTAAAATTACCATCCAAAAAATTCATAATTTTTAAATTGATGTTGAGATATTTCGTCAAAACCGTATACACCAAATTGATAAATCGCCCATTTGTTTGGAATAAAAATACAACAAATTTCTTTAATGCCGGGGTCGTATGTAGAAGAAATTCCATAAATATGTCCAGTAACCTCTACTTGCATTTCGGAAATGAAAATAAATTTGTGTAAAATATTTTTTGAAAGAATATATTTTAAATCAGTGTTGGCAATATTGTCAGAATCAATAAACATTTGTTGTTGTTGAATAAGTTCAACAAGTTCTAATTTACCTTTAAAATTTAAAAATTGAATTTTTTTTGTAAAATATCTATAAAAACTCGAAAATTTCATTCGAAAACAAAAAAATAAATTACTTTTTTGTTTCATACTCCTTCGCCAATGCCTCATTTTTTCCTGAAAGATTAAAATTTTTTTGAGAATTAAATTTTTTTAAACTGAATCTCTTTTCCGTTTACGTTTATTAGAAATTTCATTGACCGTGGCGACTTCGTTATCTTTAGATACCAGTGAATCGTTAAGCTCCACGACTTTTGGCTCTAAATTTAAAAAATATTTTCGATGCTACATATTAAAAAATTATTAAAAGATATTCGGCTCTGGCACAGTTTAAGCGCCCAAACATTACCAATAGATTGGACGCATATAATTCTAGTCAAGAGCCAAATATTCAATATAAAAATGCTAAACTAACTTGTTCCTTCTTTATTTGCCTCTTCCTGATCTGTTTCTTCTGTATTTAAATCTTCCAACTCATCAAGAAGAGCAGCTATTGAACACAAACCTTCTCTCTTCTCAATAAACTATTAAAGACTTTTTTTTAATTTAACATAAAATGAATACCTTCTGTTCCAATGTTTTCTGCTTGGAATAAGTCTCTTCTAATCCGTATTGTAAAATTTCTAGATTTTCTGTGGTCTCTTCAAGAGTTGGCTTTTCCTTAAAATGTTCCTAATATTTTATTAATTTTAAAAAAATACTTTAATTCCTTCAGCAATAGAATCAAAATTTAAATCATTTTTAATTCCTTTAAATTTGACAAATTGTTTTTTAATCGCCTCCATTTTCTCCCAATTTTTATTCATAAGACAAACTGCAAAAATACATGAGATACTAGTAATATATATTCTAAAATAGGCCTACCAATTTCCTGAGAAATTTGTTGTTGATTACGACAAGAAAAGTCAATTTGGTCCAGATGATTGATAATTTTATTTGTAGATCTAAAAATAATTTTAACAAATTTTTAAACAGAAAATTAGAAAACTCTTTCAAGTCATCTGATTTCCCGAGGCTATGAAGCATCTGAAAAAGACGTAATTTGCCATCAGCGGTTACATCGACAGAAACGAGACTACTAGAACTAGAAGGTCCAGACATTTTTTAAAATAAAAATCAAATAGAAAGCTGAAAATTTTCTAAACAACCTTAACTAAATACTCATTAATTTCTAATTCATTAAAAAAAAATAAAAATGGTAATTAACCCAACAACAAAAATTATAAAAGAATTTTTTAACACAATTTAATAACAAAAAACAATTGTTTTAACAATATTCCGAAACATGATTTTCCCAATATTTTAATATCCTTTTTATTCCTCCAACTTTATTGACCAGCCTTGTGTTTCTGCGCCAAACGCTTATCTCTTTCCTCAGCAATGGTAAGTCGAATTCCTTTATCGGCAGGCAAAGAAATCATCGGAACAGTTCCTTTTCCAATAATGAACACGTTATTAAGTCTGAAAATTAAAAAATATTGGTAATCTTCAGCTTTACTGGTCCCTAGAAAAAATGTGGTAAAAGTACTTTTTCGATATTTTTGAGGTCTGTCAGTAGGTAATCGAGTGTGCTGAGTCCGAATATGAGCTTAGAATTTGTTTATTTCGAACCCCGGACTCGAATTCGACCAAGTCGAATTCGGAGTAAGAATTCGAAACTATTAGGCTTTTGCTATTCTGACGCATCAATTCAAGTGAGTCGAATGATATTTTCGACAACTTTAGACTGAGTTATGATCAATTAAATAACGCTTGGTTGAACTTCCGGATATAAATCAGACACAATAACCTAGTCTAAAGATGTCGAAACGTAATAATTTTGATACCAATCGACTCAGCTCGAAGAGATTAGTCCGATTAGACATAAAATTTGAAATTTCGGATTTTTACCCCATGTAAGACATGGCCGAATTCGGGTCCGGGGTTCGAAATAAACAAATTCTAAGCTCATATTCGGACTCAGCACACTCGATTACCTACTGACAGACCTCAAAAATATCGAAAAAGTACTTTTTCCTCATTTTTTTCTAGGGACCAGTAAAGCTGAAGATTACCAAAATATTTTTTGAAGGGCTAGTATCTTGGCGGTTTGAATCTCAAGAAAAATCTAATGCCCGCCCTCAATATTAAAATAAAAAAATGTAACCGTGTAGCAAAAGCATGTCCAGCACTATCTTTAATGTGAACAATGTCAAAAGAACCAGGGTGGCGTTCACGATGTCCAACAATACCAACACGTCCCATGTTGTGACCACCAGTAATCATACAAACATTTCCAGAATCAAATTTAATGTGATCTGTAACCTTTCCAGTGTTTATATCAACAGCAACGGTGTCGTCAACCTTTGAAAGAATTTACTAAAAACTTAGCTGTAGACTTAAAAAACCTTGATGTGTGGATCCGGATAGCGAATTGTACGGGCATCATGAGTAACAATATAAGGAACTTGTTTTGGCCCAATCGCTTGCTTTACTACCTTGCACAATTTAAGCTGACCTTCTTCCTTCTGTATGCGATGTGTAATAAAACGTCCCTTGACATCATAGAGAAGACGAAAGACTTCGCCAGTCTTCTCAATGGAAACCACATCTTTAAATTAATGATAAAAATGGAAGAATAAAACCGAATACCCATAAATCCAGCAGGAAAACGCATTTCTGTACGCACCTTGCCATCAACTTTAATGAGACGTTGCTAAAATTGGACGGAAGTTAAAGAAAAAAGTAAAAACAAACTTTGCAAATCATCCTAGCTTCATTATAGGATTGTGCATATTTTAGACGATTACGAAGAAACAAAATAAGAGGAAGCGATTCACGAAGTTTGTGAGGTCCGCACATGGGACGTGGAGCAAAAACACCACCCAACTTGTCCAACATCCAATTCTTTGGAGCGGCCAAACGCTTCAAATGCTTCTTTGGACCTCGAGCCATACTTTTTTGTTAAATTATTTGTTCAAACAAATATAAATCTAAAACAGTGAACAATTAACAAACAAATAAAAATTAAACAGTAAAAAAAATAAAAGGATTGATAAACCGTAACCTAAAAAAGAATGGACAAAATGAAGTTACCAAAATTTCAAAGTTACCAAAATGAAATTTTATTATGTCATTTTGGTAACTTTTAAAACCTCTATATTCTTTAAGGGTAAATTGTCTTTTATTTTGTTCTTTGTTTTTTGACACGCATGAAAGAAGCCTTAATTTGTTTTTTTATCTAATCTTTTTTCTTAACACCTTTTACTTAAAATATTTTTTTTTATTTTAGATGTCATTTGGTGGTTTTACAAATTTTGCAAAAAATGCACTTCTTACAGCTCAAAAACATATAGATTCTGCTCTTCATATAGAAGAGGATGGTGGTGAATCTGGTGATGAAAATGAAGACGATGAGACTGAACGGGAAGATAATGTTAATAATAATTTATTTGAGAGTTCAACAAGTTTGTATCAAAGTGCTCTTTTGGTTGGTTTTATTTTTTAAAATTTAATTCACCAAGCGGACTCGAACCCTTGACCTCAATTTTTTAACTTTATACTTTCTTAATTGCTTCAAAAAAAATTTTTTAAAGGACCCCATTCAGTCTGTTAAATTGAACGAAATAAAATACACCCAAAACGAACCTAAGAATGACCCAAAACTTAATAACCAACAAGTTGATTTTATGGATGTTGATTTAAACGAGCCCTCGTCTCATCATTCTCAATGGAGAGAAGAACCAGAGAATAAAAATGTAAGTTGTTTTTAAAAATGTTTAAATGATTTTAAATTATTTTTTTAGCAAACTGTCGTAGATACTGAACCAAATCCAATTCGAGATGCTCATGAACCGTCAAATGTTTTTAATTATTCGCCCTCTTCGGTGAGAGTTTATCACCTAAATTTTTTTTATTTTTAGCATTCTCCTGATGACGATGAAAGTAGCCAAAATGGTCAAAGTACAACAACAGCTCAAAACGGTTCTGAACTTGAAATTGTTTCTTTAAATTTGGAAAAGGGAGAAAGTGACGATGCAAAAAGTGTAGATAATGAACGACAAAATTGTATAGTTCCATCTTCATCAGAAAAAACTTTGGATAGGTTTGAAGAGATACGAACGATTGCATCTAGCGATATTGAAGTTATTCGTCAAATAGATGATTGGTATGTGAATTTTCGGTTTATTTTTTGGTTAAAAATTTTTTGGGCTTACAAGTAAACTTGGGGAGAACTTTTAAAAAAATATTTTTTAGTTCAGGGTTACCGTCAGAAACTCAGAAATTATTTTTTTTTTGATATTTAAAGGTCAATAACAAGTAGTCACAATAATGGAAGTAGTTTTCATAATCCAATAAAAATAGGCAATAATACAAATAAAGAAGATATTCAACAACAAATTTCTACTTCAAATTCCTCAAAAGACCTTCAATTAGAACCTCAATCAATTCAGGAAATGACTGAACAAATTGCTCTTTTAGTTGGAAAACTTAAAAATAAGGATCAAAGGATAGAAGAATTGGGACGTTTAAATGAAAATTTAAAATTAACAAATGAAAATTTGTCTGCAAGATATAAACAAAAGTTTGTAAAAATATTTTTTTGGAATTTTTAAAATTAATTTTAAGAAATGCAAACGAAACAAAACTTAAAACTCAATTGGCGGAAACTGAGAAACAATTAAATGATCTTCTTGGGGAAGGTAAAAAATGTTAATTTTCAAAGGAAACTATTCGAACTAGAGATAGTGTTGATAGTATTGCCAATTTTGTTTTTCTTGGTTATGAGGACAAAGTTAAAGATACGGGGTCTTGAAATTTTATTTTTGGTCGGGCTTTTCAACTCTTTTTGAGTTCTTGTTTTAACCTCCTAAAATCCTTAATTTTAAGGCAAAAAGCTTTCTGAATACAGTGGTCGTCAAGCAAAAGAAATTCGTAAATTAAAACAAGAATTGAGTCAATTAGAAATTGTTACAGCTGCAAGGGATAGTGCAGTAGAAGAACTTCAAGAATTAAATCAACAAACACAAGAACAAGAAGCACATTTAATACAATTAAATGAAGAATTGGAAAAATCAGAAAATGACAAAAATCGTTTAAACAATGAAATTGAAAAATTAAAAAATAAAAATACAACAATGGAAAATCAAATTTTGGATCAATTAAAAAATTTGGAAAGTACAAAAGAGGAGTTAAAAAGGTTGGAAAAGGATGCAAAATTGGCTAGCAGAGAACGAGAGGTTTGGAAAAAATTTTTGGATTTATAAAATTTTTTTCTTGAAATTTTAAAGGAATTAATAAAAGAAAATAAACAACTTGCAAATAAATTAATGAACAAATCTGTGCAGGAAGGAATGGAAGGTGAACGGGAAAGAGGAATAATTGAAGATTTAAATGCTGAAAAGGCTAAAAATGTAGATGCTTTAAAAAGAATAAGAACACTTGAACAGGTTTGATTTTTTTAATTAAATAGAAAATTTTTTCTAATTTAAAGCAATTGGAAAATCTACAAGATAATCAACGAGATATTGCTTTAGAAATTTCTACAGGTTTTTTAAAAAAATATTTTCTTTTTCAGTTGCTTATTTTTTCAGCTAATTCGCCTCTGTTGCATACCATTTCTGGTTTAGAAGAGAAAAGTTGGTTTTTTTTATATTAAAAGGAAGGGCTTGGACTTGCTTTTTCTTAATTTTAAAATAAAAAATTTAAAAAAAAATTTTTCAAGTTACATCTTTGGAACGCCAAAATGAATCACTTTCTCGTTCTTTAAATCAAACAAATATTCAATTATCAGAAAAGGCATCCAAATCTTCAGTTATAATAGAAATGCTTGGAAAAAATTTGGAAGATGAAAAGTCAAATTTTACAGCAAAAGTTGAAGAATATGAAAGATTACAAAAAGAATATTCTCATTTAGAAAGGTTCGATCTTTTATACTAAAATATTAATTGGGCGAAGGGTTGTGAGACACAAATAAAATTAAAAATTTTTAAATTAATTTTTCAAAATTTTTCTAGTAAATTAAAACAAAAAGAAGACGAATTTATATCTCAACAACGCAAATCAGTTTCACAAATAGAAAGAATAGAACGTCGACTTAAAGAATTAGAAATAGATCTCAATTCAAGAAATTTAGAAATTGTCGATTTACAACGAAAAAATAATGAATTGGAACAAAAATTGGCAAAATCAATAAAAGAGCAAATTGTGCCGACATTTTTACCTGTAAAATTTATTTTTTTAATTTTTATAATTTTTAATTCTTGTAGAAAAAGAGCGTTATAATTGCTAATAATGATGAATTGTCAGATATTGAAGGAACTGGAAAAAATATTGGAGCTAAATTTAAACAACAACGACAAGAACAACAACAAATATTAGCTCAAAAAAAGACATTAAAAAGTTTTCAGAAGGTTTTTTTATTTTTTTAATAAAATTTTGGGAATTTCTATAAGAATTTTGGGGAGTAGGACTTTGAGAGATACTATTGACTAATAGTAAAATAATTCTTTAAAACTGATTTTGGGGCAAAAAAATTTTTTTAATTCGAAAATTAATTTAAAAATTCATTCTGCTAATTAAAAGACTATTCAAACTTATTTTTATTTTTTAATTATCCTTTAAAGCCCTCCTCATCAAATAAGATACGAAATGAAGTTGATGCAATTATTCATGGAAATACAACAGATTATTTGGTTATTTTTTAAAATTTTCTGAGAATTGTTAGGTTGGTTAAGTGGTAAGAATTTAGGTTCCCCCTAGCGCTATGAGGAAGAGTTACCTTATAATCACCATCTTTCGGCTGATTGTTCTTGATGGATAAAATTAGGGATCTGAGCGCTTTTTTTGTTTTTTAATAAAATTTCTGGAATTTTTAAAAATATTAAAATTTTTCTAAAATTAAAAAAATTATAAGTTGGATAGTCCATCAGTTGAACATCTTAGATCTGAATTAGACTCTTCACAAGCACAACTTTACCAACTACGCGAACGTTTTGACCATTTGCTGGAATTATATGGTGGATGTCTTGAAAGTATAGAAGAATTAAAGGAGGATAATGAGGACTTGAGAAAATTGTGTAAAGAGCAGGTTTATTTTTTAAAAGTTTCGGAGAATTTTTATTTAATTTTTAAAGGCTCTGAAAATGGCTGGTGAGGATAAATGTCAAGAGGAGGAGATGATTAATAATAATACTGACTTTGTATAATTCTCTTTTTTAAAAAAGATTTTGATGTAAGGTATTTTTTATTATTTAATTTCCCTCCTTTTCTTTTGCATAATAGCGTGTCACGGCTAAACTCCGTCCAGCGACTTTGTTTTACTTAAGTTCAAAACACCGTTTGTCTGGACGGAGTTTTTCCCCTCACCTGCATAATTGAGTTAAGAAATATTCAAAAATACAGTCGAAGTTTATTAAGGGACCCCTTTAGAAATCCCATAAGATAAGCTTACATTCTATTGAAAAATTCTTTTTTTAAGTAATTCTCTTATGTCTCTCTCATGTCTAATTTCATTAATTATTATTTTATTTTTGTGATATTCTTCTACTAAATATATTTATGTTTAAGGGTAAAAATAGGACTAAAAATTCTATTATCTAAATTTTTAACGCAAAAATTGTAAATTAATGTGCCTGAATCTTATATTTATATAAAAATTAATTTTTTTGTATAGATTATTAGAGTAAAAAAATATAATTTTTTTAGAAAAAAATTTTTTTAGGAAGATAAGGGGGAATCCTCTCACAACACCCACTCCTCCCTTTACACCTTTAATTCTATACTACTTTACACAACATAAAAATTTATGTGTAAATTGGGAGTACATTCATTTTTCTGTCTGTTTTTAATCCTTTTCTATCCGCTCATTAAATACTTTCTCCACTCTCCTATTCTTCACCTTCCATTTTTCTATTTTCTACATTATTCATATCTACTTTTCCTTTTTATTTTCTTTTTTTATCCTTTATGCGCCGTATATGCCTACAGGCCATCGATTTGCTTTAGTCTCGGGGGTTAGGGGAAACGTGTGAAAAAATCCTTTTCATTTTTTTTTTGAAATATTGGTAGTATTATAAATTGGTGGAAGGTTTTCTAAAGAAGGGAATTTTTTAATTAAAAAATAGTAATAGAAATTTAAATGAGTGTATAGAGGTAATTAGGTTAGGGTGGGGATATTAAATAGGAGCTAAAACAAAATTAAAAAAAATTTTCAGAATTTTTTTCGGAAGTTTTTCTGGAATTATTTTTAAAATTCTTTTTTATGTTTTTAACTTCACAAGAATTATTATTTGAAGAAAGACAAGGAAAAAAATTTTTTTTCTTCCTAATTAAATTTTGCAGAATTGTGTTGTGTTGCCTCTCCATAATTCTGCCTTTTAAAAACAAAAAAAAAGTAAAAACAATTTTTCCATCCTCTCCATTTTCAAGAGCCAATTTTCTCTTTTAAAAAGTGCAAAAGCCAATTAAGCATATTTTCTGCTCTTTGGTATGGAGTTTGGGGAGACTTGGAGTGGGTATGTGTTTTTATTTTTATCGACTGGTACTACCTAAAAATGTTTGCCAATTTTCTGAGTTGTAGGAGGACGGGGGAGTGGGTAATTTTCTTTCTTCTTTTTAACTAGAATCATGTGCATTTCACTTCCGTTTTTCCTTATTTTTCTTGTCTTTATTATTTGTCATTTTTAGGAGGGTTTTCTTTTTACTGAAGTAATTAACTGACTTAAGTTTTTTTTAATTAAAAAATTTTTTTTCTTTTTCAAAAAAATTTTTTTATTAATTAATTATTTTATTTTCTAATATTTTCCAACACATAGGTCTAAAAAATAATTTTCTTCTTTTTTTTTAATCTTTTAAAATATTTATTACACACTCCCTCATTAATTTTCTTTTACATTTTTCTTCTTTTTTTTGTACTACTTACAAACACATTTATTTTATTTTTTCATTTTTCCAATCCGTTATTTTCCGATCGGACTACTAGTTGTGTGTAGTCGTTCAACTGACTCTGTCCACCCCCCTCTCCCAAAAAAATTTTTTCTTTTTCCTTTTTCTGATCTTCGCCCTCCCAATTTTCCTTCCAAAAAATCGAATCATAAACGTTTAAAAGTACTAAAAATTAAATTTAAAATAGTTTAACCGACCTCGGTCGATGTTTGTAACTGCTATAAAGTCTAAAAGACTGTTTAGTACAAAAAATTCAAGACCAAAAAATTATAATCGACCAAAAATTTCTTTTTTAATTTGTTTTTGGTTTATTTTATCAACTAGCAATTTTTTTATTATTTGTTGGACACAAATGGCTAATAAAAATTTCAATTTAATCAAGAAAGGTGGTGGATGTTCTTACAAGGTTTGGGAAAATTTTTTTTAGGAAAAATTTTTTGGAATTTTTTGGGGAAAAGTTTTTTGAAATTTTTTGAAAAAAATGTGGAGGAATTTTTCGAAAATTTTTAAAAAATTCTCAGAATTTTTGGAAAATTTTTCAATTTTTTTTCAGATCCCAGATGCTCAAGATTTAATTTTTGGTGTTCCATTTGTTCACATTTCTTCTCCCTCAACTCATTCTTCTCCACTTCCTCTCCCTCGTCATCATTCTTTAAGAGCGCGCAAAAAGAGGTTTAGACGTGATTTGGTTAAAGGACGTGAATTTAGACAATTGAGAATTAAATTGTATTTTGACCCTGTCAGCATATTACCGTTAGTTTTTTTTTTATTTTTAATATACAAAAAAAAATTTTTTCATAGGCTTTCACAAGAAAAACAGCTGTACATTAATGCAAGTCAATTTAATTTTAAACAAATTTTTTAAATTAATTTTTTTTATTTTTTAGACTTCACTGTTGCCTGATGCTATTGGATTTTGGGAGGTATTATTTAAATTTATTTTTTTTTATTTTGGGGTAGATTAGAAGGGGAAGGGTTTCTATTTCTTTACAATTTTTGTAAATTGTTTCTCCATTTTTGGGCGTAAAGTCGAGGTTTCAAGTCGTGTTTTTACATTTTTTGGATCGGAATCTGAGTTGAAAAAAGGCTCCTCGACCCATTACTTAAGAGAAGCTTCTTTTTTCACTCATTTTTTCATCTCTTCACAACTTTCTTCAACATATTTTTATTTTTTCTATCAAATTTTATTCCACAGAAAATCAACAATAATTATTTACAAACAAAAATATACTCCATATCTACAAAAATAATTTACATACATAATTATTATATTCCTATACACACAATTTTATTTATTTATTATTTTCTCTCTCTCTTTTCTAATTTTTACCAGTCGAGGAAGAAGATTCATCGCCACTATTCTCTTCCGGCATACTCGTTCCTTCAGTAGATGTTCCTCCTCCCTCCCCTCCTTCTTCCTCTTCTTCCTTCCCATCTTTTTCCTTTTCTTCATCTTTTCCTTCTTCACCAGATGATGATGGTGGTGGTACAGCACTAGTAGAAGTTTTACTTTCTTCAACACTTGATCCTTCAGAATTGCTCCTTTCACTAGCTGTTTGTGTGTGGGTAGATGATGAATCTTAAAAATTTTTTTTTGAAAATTTTCAAAAAAATTTCTTAGGAATTTTTAAAAATTTTCTTTTTTACCTTCCTTTGCTGAACTCTTGCTTCTTGAAGATGGACCATGCGCAGTTTCTGGTGGAGAAATGTCTTGGTCTCTGACACTTTGCGTCAGTTCTTGGGTAAACTCCTAAAAAATAAAAAAAATTTTTTGAGGGGCCACTGGCCTCTATCTATCTATCTTACCTCTGCCAGTTCATCAAAGTAAAGATGCCTTGGCATTTTAGCTTTAGGCACAACATTGTCTGGCAATATCGGCGACTTTCCATCACTTAAGCGAGCACTAATATGAGCAGGCCTCGTTTTCAAAAGTCCATTAACACTATTATTAGGGATGGTCGTGGAAGTGGAGGTGGTATCCTTGAAAGACTTTTCATCATCATCCCTCTGTGTCGCTGCCATCTTCCTTTCACTTTTTGCCGTTTTGAGAGATTTTGAAGATCTTGTAGATTTTATAGAAGCTAGGAAAGAATCTTCATTCCATCTTTCAACATCTTCCTCATCTTTTTGTTTCTCGAAGCGCTTTCGTTTCAGATAGAAAGTGGCGTAGTAGACAACAATGGATCTAGAAAAAGGGGAAGATTTTTCGAAAAAATTTTTTCAAGGGCAAAACTAACATTGCCAAATAAGCAATAGATATGTACAAAGCCAAATTCCATGTAGAGAGCGAAAGGTTGTCCAAACTAAAAGTGAAAGAAATTTTTTAAAAAATTAAAAAATTGAAGAAATAAACTTACAAGAAGCCCATTAAAGCGAGAGTTGTTGCTGTGCTAGAAGAGAGTAAAAGTGTTGGAGTGTCGTTGATTGAAACAAAATGTAAATTTTTGGGGGTTTTTATAGTAAAATGAAATGTGGGTGATTTGACGGATTTATTTTTTAAATTTTTTAGCAAGCTTTGTCTGTTCGAAATTCACTAGCTCCAATAAGGCTGAGCAGGTGAGAGAGAGAAACAAGAAAAATTTTCAAAAAAAAATTTTAAAGAAAATGCGAGGACAACAAATACTATTCTGATCAAAATTCCCCCTTTCTGCGTTGTGTGACTCGTTGTAAACAGACTACTTATTGTGGAGAAGTTGCTGTACCCGATGAACATTTATTTGTTTGTAAAAATTTTCAATTTTTAAATTTTATTTTTAGCAGTGCCGCTTCTGTATTCAATCAAACCCCCTTTCCTGTGTCCCTTCAGGCCCGCCTGATGGACAAGGCATTATTGGCTCAGATTTTCTTCTTTATGTTTCTGCCGTTCCTTCGCAAAGGTGTCAAAATGATGATACAATAGCTTATGCTGCACATTGCCAACAAGAAGCTGAATTGGACAGGTTTTTAATTTTATTTTTTTGTTGTAATTTTAAAAAATTATTTTTCGGAAATTAAAATAATTCTGATTTTTTTAATTTTTGCGTTTATTTTTTAATTTGAAAATTCTTTGTAGGCCTATAGCTGGTCATGTCAATATTTGTCCACAAGCACTTTCCACCCACTCACATGATCAAGTTTTTTTCGTTAAAATTTTTAAGAAAATTCAATTTAAAAAGGAAGTCCTTCTCTCAACAGTTAAACATGAAATTTTACATGCTCTTGGATTCTCTGCTGGTTTATATGCCTTTTTTCGTGATTCAGAAGGGCGTCCACGATCTAGAAGGTTTTTAGAGAAGTTTTTTTTATAATTTCTTTAAATTTTAAAGAAATCAAAATAGTGGACGTCCCCTTTCTTTTAACCGAGAAAGAGGTTTTTATGATGCTGAAGCTTCCACAGTGCGTACAATAATTCGAGAAGATTGGTGGACGGCGGAAGGAGAGGTTTTTTTTTGAAATTTTAAAAATTAATTTTTCTCTTTTTTTAGTTACCCCATCCTGTCCATTTATTGGTCACTGAAAGAATAATTGAAGAGGCTAGGAAGCATTTTAATTGTTCAAAATTAGAAGGAGCTGAATTAGAAAATCAGGTTTTCTTTTTTAAATTACTATATATCAACAAACTCCGCAATCTTCTAACCGTAAGTCCCTAAGGTTTCCCTTGAATTTTTAAGTGTATAGAGCAGAGATGGGACGATGTTGAGAAAAAGTCAGGTCATGTTTCAGATCGAGTTTTTAATATTCCATTTCATATAAGATTTTAACCCGTCCCTGGTATTAAGGATTCGACTAACTAACCAAAAACCCCTTTATAGAAAAAAATATGTTGTAACTTACGGACAAAAATTTGCGGGTATTTCCCGATTTTTTCTTTCAAAAAAATTTTTTAAAAAGGGAGGAGATGGAACATCATTAACACATTGGGAAAAACGTTTATTTGAAAATGAGGCAATGACTGGAACACACACACAAAATCCAGTCTATTCTCGTTTAACGTTAGCTTTAATGGAAGATAGTGGATGGTATAAAGCGAATTATTCTGTTGCTGAACCTTTACATTGGGGAAATAATTTGGGTTGTGATTTTGCTATGAAAAGTTGTGGGCAATGGATTAAACAAAGAATGGAAAGGTTTTCTTTTTAAATTTTTTTAAATATTTTTTAAAATACGAAACTTTAAATTAAAAAAGAAATTCGAAACGAAATTCGAAATTTCGAGATTCGAAAAAAATCAAAGTTTCGAATTTTGAAAATTGTTTTGAAATTTAAAAATTTCTAAAATTTTAATTTTAAAATGATAGAAACGAGTCAGCAGCTCCATTTTGTGCAGATATTAAACATGATGGAAGTAAATCTTTGGCAACTACACGCTGTACAGATCAAAGGGTAAATATTAATTTAAAAGATTTTTTAAATAAAATATTTAATATAATATTTTGGATTTTGATTTTTAATTTCTGATTTTTTTCAGAAAAAAATTCTGATATTTATTTTTTCTTTATTTTTAAAGGATTCTTTGGCATTATGTAATTTAGTTCCACATAAAAAAGAATTACCTAAACAATATCGAAATTTTGGCAAATTAAAAGGTGTTAGAAAAGAAGGAATAAAATATTATGGGGGATTTGTTGAATTGGCTGATTATTGTCCTTATAATCAAGAATTTGAATGGAAAACAATTATTAATACAAGTAGTGGAAGGAGGGATAGTAGATGTGAATTAATTGGTAATGGACCTCCAGACGGGGAAATTAGTGAAGAATATAATGAGGGAAATGCTGTAAGTTATGTTCTGATTTTTTGGAAATTATGATTTTTTAAAATGTTCTGATTTTTAATAATTTTGATTTTTTGAGGATTCTGATTTAATTCTGATTTTTAAATATTTTCTGATTTCCAAATTTCTGATTTTTTTTTAAATTCTGATTTTATTTATAAATTCTGAATTAATATTCTGATTTTTTAACATTACGATTTTTTTTATATTCTGATTTTGGTAATTCTGATTTTTTTTGGAAATTCTGATTTTTAATTCTGATTTTAATTTATAAATTCGTATTTCAATTAATTCCAAATTTTTTACAGATTCTCGAACTTTACGGGCATGGTTCTCGTTGTTTAGATTTGGGTTTGAGTTGGACAGAAAAAAAGTGTGGAAGAACTCGAACATATTCTCAATTTATGGCTGGGTGTTATCAAGTAAATTTAATTAAATTTTTTGAAATAAATTTTAATTTTTAAAAAAAAGATTGTTTGTTTAAATGGCCGTGTAAATATTCGTGTACATAATTCAACAAAGCTTTATCCTTGTTATAAATCTGGTCAACCAATTTATATTAGAAAAGTTTGTTTTTTTTAAATTATTTTTTTAAATGCATAGGCATTGGATTTTTATTTTTAAATTTACAATTTTTCCCTGGAATTTTTAAAATATTCGCGAGGATTCAGGGCGTGAATGGGACGGATTATTCGAAACCCGGACCGTCTTATCGTCCTGAAACCTGATCTAAAGTTTTGAAAATTTTGAAAACCTGATCCATCTCTGGTTGTTTATTTATAATTAACCAATTATTAAATTTTTCTCAAAAAAAATTTTTTTTTTAAAGTTAGTCAATGGATGGATAAGGGAAGGTCAAATACTCTGTCCTGAATGCCAACAATTTTGTTCTAATAAAAATTTTGAAGAAAAAAAAGAAGATTTCTGTCTTCCCCCAACAGATCCACCATTAAATGAAGGAGAAATTGGTGATGATCCTTTAATTGTTGAACTCCCATGTAAAGCATATCGTAATTATTTTAATATTTTAATTATTTTTCTATTTTTATTTACCAAATCTAGAGCTGTTTTTTTTTCTAATTTTTAATTTTTTAAATTAATGCCGGTTTTTGAAAAGCAGATAAATCTCTTTTAAAATAGTAAATTTATTTTTGTTCTTTTTTTAAGATTTTTTAGTAATTTATTTTTCTTTTTTTGGATTTATTTATGGTAGGAATTCCCACAAATAAAAAAAATATTTTTATTAATGCCTTCTCAATTAAATTTTTATTTTTGAGGATTTTCTCACATTAATTTAACAAAAATATTTTTTATTCAAAAAATGTGCCACACACAGTTTTTACTAAAAAAATTTGAAATTTTTTTTGGAATTTTTTGGCCAACATAAAAATTCTTTTTTGACCCCTTTGTTATAGTCTTATTTGTTAGTGTTTGAGGGAAAATTTCTACCTATAGGTCAGGGATCCTGCTTACATGAAAAAAAAATAAGTTCCCAATTTTTGGAACTAAGACGGCAGACTTCCTGTTTTGCTACGTAAAACTCTTTAAAATTAAAAAAAAAATAAAAAAATTTTTCTATATTTTTGTTTACACGTTCTTGAAACAATTTTTTCAATAGACAAATAATTTGTTTAAATTATTCAGACAAATTTAAAAAAATATATAAATAAAAATTATTACGTAGGTTTATGACGGATTATTACACATTTTATTTAAATTTTTGACGTATTTCAGTCTATAAAAAATATTTTTTTTATTCAAAAAAGTTTGGAGAGAATCATTATTTAATTAGACAAAATAAGAGATCAAAAAATAATAATTTTCAAAATATTTCAAAAAAAATTTTCAAAAAATTTTCAAAAAAATTTCAAGCCCTCGAAGGAGACAAAAGTATTGGCCAATCATTCCCCACCAGAATTCTCTGTGCTCTCCCCCCAAAACTTCTTTTTAAAGGCGGGGGTTGAATAAGTCTGCGACGTCCTGAAACAGACAAACTATTGCCGAGAAAGCCGGCATTGTCCTGAAAAATTAAAAATAAAAATTATTTTTTAATTTTTTAAAGTTATTTCAAGCTTAAAAAAGCATAATAAATTGAGCATATAAATTTTATTTTTATTTTTTTAAAAAGGTGTTAACAATAAAAAAATAAAATATAATATCTGCAAAATTTTATTTTTAATTTTTTTGTAGTTTGCATGCATGAATAAATAATAATTTTTAAATAACGTAAATACAAATTTTTTTTATTATTTTTGGAAAATATTTAAAAAAAATTTTTTTGAAAAATAATATTTTTTAATGAAAATTAATTTTTAATTAAAAATAATATTTTATTTTTTTTTCATTAATTTTGAATTAAAAATTAAATTTTAAAAAATTAAGTAAAAATTAAATTTACTACTTCGGGGTTATTTTCTGTATTATCAACAAAAAGAGAACGTTGCGAAATTCCAGAATTACTCCCACCAACAGAGGGACCAAATTGACGTATTTCAAAATCAAAACTTTCAACTTTATTACAAATAAATAATTGTAAAAGGATAAATAAAGTTGTTAGGAAGGAGAAGAAGAATTTTGTGTTTTTCATTTTAATGTGTTTCAGCAATTCTAAAAACTTTAAAAAATACAAAAAATAAACTTAGAATTAATGTAAAATACAAGAAAATAAACTTGAAAAATACAACTTGAAATACAAAAAAATCAACTTGAGATACAAGGAAAATACAACTTGAAAATAAATGTATTTCCGGAAAAGTTTATTTAAAAATCCGGAAAAGGTTATTAATATATTTTTGTATTTTAGGTTTATTTAAATTACGGTCCGGAAAAGTTTATTTATTTATAATTAATTTAAGGTTCGTGTTTATAAATTATATATAAACTTAAAAATAAACTTAACAAAAAATAAACTTGGAATTGAACAAAACACATAAATTATTTTTAAAATATTTTTTCATTTAATTTAAGACCACCAAAAAAGGGATAGAAAAATTACCATTTTCCTGGCCTAAAGAAAATGGAATTAAATTGGGCGGAATGTCTTCAAAACACAAGATTTTTCACATTTTTTATAAGATTCTCATTTATTTGGGTAAATTAAAATATGTAAAGATTTATGGATTTTAAAATGTGATGAAATTACAAACCGGAAATATAAATTAAATACACTTGAAATAAAAAATGAAATACAAAAATTATTTAGAGGAAAAATACAACTTAAATTTTATTATTAAATAAACTTTCCGGAAATTTATTTCAATAAATCTAAAATACAAAAATACAATAATAAACTTTTCCGGAAAATATAAAATCTAAGTTAAAGTTTCTGGAAAACACAAACTTGAATTTTATTATTAAATCAACTTTTTCGGAAATTTATTTAAATAAATCTAAAATACAAAAATACGTTAATAAGCTCTTCCGGAAAATATAAAATTTAAGTTAAAGTTTCCGGAAAACACAAACTTGAATTTATTAAATAAACCTTAAATACAAAAATTTATTAAACTTGAGTATTTTTCCGGAAAACACAAACCTTCGTTATTATTAAATAAACTTTCTGGAAAATACAAGTTTCTACAAGTTTGTATTTTATTTTAACAAGTTTGTATTTCATTTTATTACAACCTTGTATTTTATTTTATTAAATAAACTTGAAATACAAAAATAATTAAAAATAAACTTGCAAAAAATACATAAATTATTAACTAAAAAATAAACACAAATTTTAATTAAAAATAAAGCTAAAAAAGTATAAAAGTACGAAAGCATTTATTTTTTAAGTCTTCTATTTAATTATTAAAAATAATAAAGTGCATTTATTTTGGCATTATTTTTTATATTAAAAATTAAAAAAACGAAAGAGAATATTAAAACAGCGAGGGAAAATATTCCGGAAAGTTTATTTAATTTAATAAGATTAAAGTTTTAATTTCCGGAGACTTATTTAAATTTAATGTTTTCCGGAAAAGATTATTTATTGATAGTAAAGGTTTGTGTTTTTCGGAAAAAATCAAGTTTATTTTAATTATTTTTGTATTTCAGGTTTATTTAATAACAATTAAAGTTTGTATTTTCCGGAAAATTGAAATTAAATTTTATGTTTTCCGGAAAAGTTTATTCATTTAATATTGAAAATCTGTATTTTTCGTAAAGTATTTTTATTTCCGGAAAGGTTTAATAATGTATTTTTGTATTTTAGTTTTATTTGTATAAATTTCCGGAAAGTTTAATTATTTAATAACAATTATAACTTAAAGTTTGTATTTACCGGAAATTACTAAAATAAATTTAATATATAAATAAGCCTAATAATTGTCTGCTGACAGCATAATTAAGGCGGAGTCTGCCAAGTTTATTTATTTAACACTTGAAGAACAATTTTACTTGAAGAAAGGGGCGTGTCTATTATTGACACACACATGTCTATTTGAGTAAATATAATTAATATAATTTATATATTTTTAATTAAATTAAATTAAAAAATTTTTTAGAATAAATTGTCTATAATTTATTTAATTTTTTAATTAATTCAATTTTAAAAATATTAAAACAATTTTTAATTAAAGGTAGCTGCAGGCTGCAGTCTTTATAAAATGAATTGAATTTTAAACTTTTTAAAAATTAAATAAAAATTTTTTTTAATTTCTAGTTATTTTAAATGAACATTAGTCTGTCTACAATTTCCTAAAAAAATTAAAAAAAATTTTTTCTTTTAATTTTTATTGGATATTTAAGTTTAAAATACGTTTAAATGCCGTTTTTTTAATTATTTTAAAAACGAACATTTAAATATTTTAGCTAATTAAATACAAAAGTTGGTCTTTATGTCATGCATTTTAATAATTAAATAAATTTAAATAAGTATATGTTTCGTTTTTGGAAGAAAAAAAATTTTTAAAGAAGCTAATAAAATTAAAAAATGACGAAATGAGTGAGAACAGGACTGGAAAATTTTTTTAATTAAAAAAAAATTTTTTTTTATTTTTTAAAAAATTTTTTTAATTTTTAAAAATAAATTTATTAGACTATTAGTCATTGAATTTTTATCAAAACAATTTAATTTTATATTTATTTTTTATTTATTTTTTATTTTATTTAAATTTATTTTTGGGCGACATTTCATAATATTTTTTTATATTTATTTTTTTTCCATAAAAATATGTAAATTTATATGATATTATGCTATCAAAAAAATAATATTGGGAATTAAAAGAATTATTAATATATTTAAGGAATTTAGTGGAAATAAATAAATGTGAAGTAATACTATTTAAGAGGTATTTGTACACTAATCGGATAAATAAATAATTTTTTTTTAATTTTTTATTTGCTCTAAAAATCAACAGAAAATCAACAAAGAGAGACATTAAAACATGACAGATTTTTGAGGATCGATTTTGATTAAAATAAATAAAAAGTAAATATTTAAATAAATGGAGAGACTGTCATGGCTGTCAGGAAGAGGAGGAAAAAATTAAATACAATTTTTAATACTTTTATTTTAATAAAAATATTTTTATTTTGTTAAATACTTGCTCTATATATTTAAAAAATAGTTATAAAATTAATTTAAAGGCTAAATACTTTTTTTTAATTAATTTTTGATTAATTAATTCCCTACAATATTCATCAATAATTTAAAAATTATTTTTAAAAATTCCAAAGAAAATGAAATATCGAAAAAGATTGTTTGCAATGGATGAATACGAGTTAAAAGCAGCTCTAGAATCATTGTTACCTGATCAGGTGGTTGAGGGAGCTAAAAAGGAAACAATGCAAGAAGAGTTGGTTCAATGGTAAAATTTATAATTTTTAATTAATTAAAAAAATTTTTTTAATATTTTAAAATTTAAAGAAAATTTTTTAAACCAAAAATTCAAAAAAATCAAAAAAAAATAATTTTTAGGATTCTTTCCGAGGGCCTAACAGCTCGACACGAATTTTTATTTTATAAAGAAGAAGGCCCTCCAACACCTGGAACTGAGGAGGAAATGAATAATAATTTAGAAAATATTCCAAGAATATGGCTATTAAATAAAAGAGCAAAAGGCTGTCCTTGTTGTGAAGGTAAAAAATTTTAAATTAAAAAAATTTGTCATTAAAAATAAAAATTTTTTTTTATTAAATTTATTAGAAAAATAAGCATTTACTATATTAAATAACTGAAACTTAAAGAAAAATAAAATAATTAAATTTTTAAAATTTAATTAAAATATAAAAACAAAGTATTTATTGTTGTACTTTAACTGGTAAATTAAATTATTATTATTCACTATTAATTCTGATTTTATTTCTGATTTTATTTTTAATAATTCTGATTTTAAAATTATTTATTTTTCCGGAAAGTAATTAAATCAGAATTTCTTTAGAATTATTTTTAATCAGAAGTTGAAAAATAATTAAACTTTCCGGAAAAGTTTTCCGGAAATAAAATAATAAAATCAGAATTTCAACAGAATTTTAATTATATTTTATAATAATTAAAACTTTCCGGAAAATATCAATTAAAAAATCAGAACTTTTTAAAAGAAAATTCTGATTAAAAATTAAATAATTCTTAATTTAACTCCAATTTATTATTGAAAAATAATTGTTTGTTTTTCTTTTCCATTTTTCAATTAAATTTCCTCTCATTTAGATTAAAAATAAAATTAAAAATAAAATTCAAAAAAATTAAAAATGAATAATTTTAAAAATAAAATTAATCCTCCCGTGTCCATTCCTTATTTTTCGGCCCTTCCCTTTCGACGTATCGCAGGTAGCAATAACAACAGCCCTGCAATCTCTGTTTGTCCAACGCCTAAAAGAAGTCCTTCTCCTCTACGGCCATTTGTTGGTGTTCCTGCTAATGAAGTTTATACGTAAGTATTTATTTTGTTGTTCTTTCCGGAAAGCTTTAAATTAATTCTGATTTAATAAAAAAATCTGAATTTTTGAAGAATTCTGATTTTTCAGAATTTTGTTAATTTAATAATATTTTTCGGATTCTGGTTTATTATTTAAATAATTCTGATTCTCCGGAATTTTATTAATCCAACCTTTTCCGGAAAGTTTTTATAATTCTGGTCTTTCTTTAATAAAAGTTTTAAAGTTTAATTCTGATTTACCTTTCCGGAATATTAAACAACCTTATATTTAATATATTCTTTCCGGAAAGTTTATATTCTTTATATTTTTTATTCAGAACACTAGCAACAACACAAGGGAGTCGACAACTATTTCCACAACATTATTCAATGCCTTCCCCTTACAAACAACCCAAAAATGTAATTTTCACCGTACAACCAATGCCTGGAGAAAATAAAAAAATTGAGGAAAATATACCCAATAAAAAAAGTTAAAAAGATTTATTTAAAATTTTATTTAAAAATTTTTAAAGAGACAACAGCAGCAGAAGAATGTTGCGTTGAATGCGGGTAGGTTATATTTAATTAAAATTTTTTAATTTAATTAATTTTATAAAATTAATTTTAAGGCGATTTTGTGTGGGATTGGTTTCTGCCTTGAAATAAATTAAATAGAATTCTGATTTTTAATTCTGATTTTAATTAAAGTTGTAATTATTTCCGGAAAGTTTTAAAAATACAATTTTATTTTTAAGGTTTTAAGTTTTCCGGAAAAATTGTATTTTTCTTTTAAGTTTTCCGGAAAAATTGTATTTTTCTTTTAAGTTTTCCGGAAAGTTTTATTTTCATTCTAAAGTTTTCCGGAAATTGTATTTTCATTCTAAAGTTTTCCGGAAAAATTGTATTTTTCTTTTAAGTTTTCCGGAAAGTTTTATTTTCATTCTAAAGTTTTCCGGAAATTGTATTTTCATTCTAAAGTTTTCCGGAAAAATTGTATTTTTCTTTTTAAGTTTTCCGGAAATTTGTATTTTCTTTTTAAAGTTCCGGAAAGTTTTAAATATTTTAATATTTTATATTTAGTCTCGCTAATACTTTTCCTATCATTAAATGTAAAATACAAAGTTTATGACTGTATTTATTTTTACTGAAAATACATTAATAATTAATTAATTAAAAATACATTTTTTGTGTTTTTTATGATTTTTTTCATAATTAATAAAATATATTAATCATTTTTAATTTTTATTACGAATTTTAATTAATTAAATTTTTTATTTTTTATTAATTAATTTTTTTTAATTTTACTTTTAATTCTAAAATTTATTTTATTATTTTAAATAAGAAAAAAAATATTAAAAATTTCTTTAGATTATTATCGGCATCTTAAAAGTATTTAAAACTTGTTTTTATTTTATTCCGGTATTTTTAATATATTTTATTTTTAATTTCCAGTAATTTATATTTATTTTTATCTTTTCGCTCAATCAGTTTAAATATTAATAAAATTAGTAGTAATGGTTTTTGGTTAATTTTACGGATGATTTATTTAATTATAATTCTAATTGACATTTAAATATTTGAAAAGCTTTTACTAACTGAAAATATAATTTTTATAATTAATTTTAAAATAAATATGTGGCTAGTATAAATATGTGGCTAGTTACTCTTATACCTATAAAAGAGACAAATTTCCATTTTAAAAACTATTATCGGCCGGCCGAAGGCCGGCCGCTTCCCCGAAGCCTGACATCTTGGGGGCAACTTTTAATGGCGCATTCAGGAAAAATACGAACTCGGCGCCACGACTTTTCCTTTGCGCCGAAACGACCCCACGAGTTTTGCTATCTCCTGAACTAAAAGTCGGAGCGGAAAGGTCCCGCTGGGAGGGCACTGCTCCTTTATTAGGGGATTAATATAAAAAAAAAATTTTGGAAATCGGTTGAACCCCCGGGGAGTTATAGGTGCGCAAACCGAAGTGTCGAATTGGCCAAATGTGGTGCCATTGGAGATTGGCAAAATGTGGAGCTGTGGTATCTCGGGAACCACTGGGCGTAATTGAATGGGACCTGAGGGGTTATAGGTAAGTGGCCATGGGGAGTTTAATGGGCTAGGCCATTTTGGTGCCGCACTCAAGTGTGGCACCGAAATGGCCGGATAAAAAATTCAAAGTGTTATAACTCTTTTTTTAGAAGTTGGGGGTTCTTGGGCCTGGGAGTGATGTTGGAGGGTAGAGTGTGGGGAAGTTATAAATAGTTGGACATTTGAGTCTCGGGTGAACTTTTGAGGGTCAAATGGGTCAAATTGTCAAAGTCGAAAAGTCGACTTTTTGTAAAGTGAATTGAAACCCGTTTTCAATAGCCAGTTCGAAAGAGCATCCCCTGGCAGTCAGAAAAAGGTATAATATGTTGGGGGTCCACTTGAGTCTCAAAGAGTTATAGCCAATGTGACCAAATGGCGCAAAATTTTATGAGACTCTAACGTCCCGGGGAATTTTTTTAAAATTTTTCTGAGACCGGATATGGACTCAGCGAGTGTCAAAGCCCCATATAGTTCGTTTTTTGACTCAAAAATCAAAAATTTTTTTCCCGACCCCATCCCAAAAGGGGTACCCCTTTTGGGGGATTTTCGCGATTTTTTAAATCGCCATAACTTTTTACCGGATAAAGGAATCTGGATGGGGTTTCTTTTATAAAATAGAATAAAAAATTAGAAATTTTTCGAGCCGAAAAAATCTCGAAAAAATTCGAAATTAGGCACGAGGGGGTCGAATTTCGAAAATTCGAAAATTTTTCGGTTTTTCGAAAAAATTCCGGTATTTTTGCCGGTGGTTCGGGGCGTAGGCATTTTTCCTTGATAGAGCAGATTTTTCTGCATAGAATAAGATTTTAAAATTTTTACAAAAGTTCTACTTTGGGAAAGTTATGATTTTTTGAAAATTTTGACGATTTTTTCGACCAAAATTTTCGGCGAAAAAAATAAATTTTTCAAAATGGCCATAAATAGGCCAAATGTTATATCATTCGAGAGCCCTTATCGAGGCGAGTTTAAAATTATTTTTTGTGAAATTTTCTTACCATTTTGGCCAAAGTTATGGAGGGTCAAATGTTTGAGTCTGGGGGGTACTTTTGCCGGTGGGGTACCATGGGAACGTTGTTTGATCAAGTATGGCCCATTCAAGCTGTAGAGTATCCTAAAATCATCCTAAAAATATATACTTTGTTGGGGGTCCGCTTGAGTCTGACACAAGTTCTGGGGGTCAGTAATTTCTGAAGTTGTGTGTCACTTCCGAGTGAAGTACAAAGTAAGGGCGACAAATAAAATATAGTATTTTAATGTTGTAGAACGTGTAATAATCCTCTGAAAATCGAAGGTTCACTTGAGTCTGGCCAATTTATGGGTAAAAAAGGATAAAATCTGAGTAAAACCCCTCAAAAATGGGGGCGAGGTCTCGAGTTTAAGAACTATCCTCGAGTCTCGACCTCGAGACCTGTATATTTCGACTCAGCTCGCCGAGCCCGTTTGAACGAGTACCCACATGCCTATACTTGGAGCAACTTTGTACCTTTCGAGCCCTCGAGCTCGAGTCTCGAGCTCGACTCGAGCTCGAGACCTTCACAGATCGATTCAGAATCCCGAGTAGGAATATCATATGCTTTGCCACCTTAGTCTGACCGAGTAATGGTCAAAAATGCAATATTGTGGAATCAGCCCCTCAAAAATAGGGGCGAGGTCTCGAGTTTGAGAACCAGCCTCGAGTCTCGACCTCGAGACCTGCATATTCCGACTCAGCTCGACGAGCCCGTTTGAACGAGTACCCACATGCCTATACTTGGAGCAACTTTGTACCTTTCGAGCCCTCGAGCTCGAGTCTCGAGCTCGACTCGAGCTCGAGACCTTCACAGATCGATTCAGAATCCCGAGTAGGTCATTTTGGCAAAAAATGTCAAAATGGTAAATTTCAAAATGGTCAGGGCTCAAAATGGTCAAAATCTCAAAATGGTAACTCTGGGGCAGGGGAGTACTATGGGGGGTATGGGACTATATAAGGAGGAGGATATACCCCATATTTCTCATTTCCAGTCATTTTTTCAAATCATTTATTTTTTTAAAAAATATGCTCTCTAAAAAATAAAAAAATATTAAATTTAATTATAAACCCAAAATATTTAATTTATTTATTCTCCCCTCTCTCTCTCTAACCCTCCTCTCTCTCTCTCTTCTCTCTTCTCTCTCTCTCTTCTCTCTCTCTCTTCTCTCTCTCTTCTCTCTCTCCCTCCTCTCCTTCTTCTTCTTCTCTTTCTCTCTCTCTTTCTTCCTCCCTCCCCATTCTGGGGTTTCTTATAATAAAGAGAGCTTTTCCCTAATCATTATGTGGTTAACCGGAGGAAGCAGGATGCGTGCTTCCGTTTGGTTGGCTAAATCATAATGTCTACTATTGTGTATTAAGTTACCAATAGTCGTAGACATTATGATTTTTTGGTACCTGTACTCAAAAATTTAAAAAATAAAAATTTTCGGGTTATAGTACAGGTACCTCAAAAAGGCCAACCATTCGGATATATGCCGCAGAAGACCTGTGGAGTCTGGTGCTGCATAATGTGTGGGTTTTCATTACACATTAGCTAAACAGCTCATACGGGGCATTGCACTTCGCCTCGGAGCATTGCACGTTTACTAATGTATGCATTTATTGCATCATTTCTTAGCTACCTCAAGTGGCTCCTTCCAATTAGGGTCGGGAATGCGGTGTTGTCAAATCACCGAAGAGTAAAAAGCATGCCCCCAATAAAAATTATTAGAAATAAAACTATCTAAACTTCAAAATCCTTATTATATCTAACATTTCCCCCTTTTAATGCATACTAGCCTACTGCGCGGATGCCAATACTGGTATGCATCATGCTTTGAACTCTAAGGTGGGCCTCATTCCCTTCTCTACCCCGGTTGGAAGCCCAGGTAGACTCCGCTCCTAACTTCTGTACCCAACTTTTCATCTTTTGGCACTCCAGTCAGCTGGTA